AATTTAAACGGTCGGTCACTTCCAATTACGGCAAATAGAGCCGATTTCTGTGAACGCGGTCTTTTTTCTACAAATAACGTGGAGGATATATAACACAAGTAACAAACAGCAGTGAAGATAGAAAAGAAATATCTTATTATGTCAATGTTTTAATAATCTACTTTCAATTATTTTTAAATAAAATTCAAACATATTGGAGTTTTCTAACCCGCGTGTATACTAGCGTTTGACGCGTGACCAGGTAATTGTTTTCAAAACATGCAAACTCAGATTATCAGGAAGCACAGGTAGCTGACTTGTCAATCAAATCAGAAGCTATTGTTTTTTTTAATGATTGACTGGCGGTAAATTATTGATCTTGAATAGGGTAGATTTTGGGGGTGTTAACATAAAATTGGGTGTTTAAAGTCATCATTTCGTAAGTTCTTTGGTCAATACAATGACCAAGTCAGCAAATACAATTTATCATTGAGTCAAATGCTGACACACGTTTTTCATATGATTGTTAGTCCATTATTTATACACTGAATTGACGACGGATTTTTCCGTTATTTCCCGATCACGACAAGGAGCACACAGTGGGTGTGACCGGTCAGCAGGGGATGCTCACTCCTCCATGGCACCTGATCCCACCTCTGATGTTTTGGAGGTCCATGTTTGCTCTGCTCCTGTTTTTGTATTGTTTAATGGACTTGATATTGAATACTAGTTGTTCTTTATCTCCATCCTTCATTCATATGTAGATAACGATCAGTACCAATGCTTAAAGTCCATCTCATCAATATACATATCAGAAGAAAAGCAAACACGGACCTCCAAAACATCAGAGGTGGGATCAGGTGCCACGGAGGAATGAACATCCCCTGTCGACCGGTCACAACCGCCGTGTGCTCCTCGTACTTATAGGGAAAAACGGAAATATCTGCCGAACAAATTAGTCTGTAAATATTGACTTAAAAGGAGTATGAAAACAGTCAACTAGCATTTGACTTGATGGTAGGCTGTATTTGCTGACAAGGTCATTGTTTCGACCAAATAATTTGCGAAGTGGTGACTTCAGACGAGATTTTTGATATCCTTATGTCATCCTCTTATCAATAGCTTGTAAAAATCGTTTATGATAAAGGACCACTTAAATATTTGATATTCTTTTATTTGATATAATTCTTTCAATAATCGGAGATTTGGCATTAGCGTTTATCAATGTCAGAAATTTTAGAAATTTTTCATACTTGACATGTTTTTGCGTATAAAATCAATTGAAAGTGACTGCCATACATCCCATATGCAAGTGAGCATTACTATGTACATGTGTAAGGAAGCAAATGTAGTACATGTAGTTTTGAATAAATTTTGCTTCAAATCAAAATACTAAAATACAATTTGGCTGGTCCGTCAAATTTTTTTTGAAGACCTTGTCTCCAAGGACTGCATGTATAGATGTAATCGATAAACTCAAACATCTTTCTTTTAATATCAACTGCAGAATACATGTACATAATTATATTTGTGTATAGAATGTTATTTTTAGTATAAAGTAATTTTGTTGATGACGATCACAAAATATGAATATGTTTCAGTTCCCTTTCCATTTTCAAGAAGCTGCAGCTGTATATATTCAAAAACTTATTTTAATTTATGACGATGAGCATATGTACTGTTGTTGTATAAAATGTTTTGATGATACATTTTGATGATGACATTCGAAAATTTTTGTAACTTCATTTTTTTTTTATTTTTTTTAGAATCAACAGTTGAATCACACCACTTATAGAATATGCACAGTCCGCCTGAAAGCTGTAAATATTTTTGTGAAGTGTAAAGACGGGGCGTGGTAGGGCATCTCCCAAGCGATGTATCTTTGTCAGGATTTTTTATGAATTTTTAGAATCCAACAAAGGCAGGGGATATCTCCCCTTGCTTGAATGGAATGTTAAAAGTGCACATGTTAAACAATGAAATGTGATTCTGAAGAATTTCATCCGGAGAAAGTGAACTGTAAGTGTTACATATATAGTTGGGCTTCCAGAAATAGAATTTAAATACTTGTACATGTAAATAAGCCTTACAAACAAAACCTTGTCACGACTTACAAGTCATATCTGCTGAAACACTCTTTGTTCATTTAGTCTTTTGTAGTGTTTATTCCTATTTCAATATCTCAGGGAAAACAGAAACGGTGAATATAAATAGAACGTGTCATTATAAAACGCAAGTGTATTTTGCTGTTTTTCATGCATTTGTCGATTAAATACCTTCTGGTTTCAAGAACATGTAGAACTTTCGTCTGGTCTTTGTTGTCAGTTTGTTGTTAGGGTCTGCTTGAAACTCTTTAAACTCTTTGTACAACATATCCTCGGTATCCCGTCGTCTTATCTCACAGCTCAGCATCGTAATCCATGAGCATGCTGGAATTACGACTAACCTGGTCAAGTTTTGAAAAAGATATCTTTATGTCAAAAAAAGGACAATGAATGTGAAAACCAAGCATGAATATTATAGAAAATAGAAATTTATTTTATTTTTTATTTTTTTTTTACAATGAGAGCCTTCCATCAATGTGTTGTACATATAGTAAATTATATTTTATTGTAAATGTACTCTTTTAAACTACTTTGTACATGTATCGTATTTTTTTACTTACCTGTTCATGAATAAGTAAATAAATAAATAATAGACTTACCTGTTCATGAATTTCTTCAACATTTTGAGAATTGTTGATTATATTTTGGCAGATTATTTTCGGTATTTTCGACAAGCGATCTCAGTCAAACAATCAAATGACGTTAGGATGATTGTGACGTCATAGTAAGAAAATTAATTTTAAAAATACATGATTGTATGTTTATGATTCCGAAATAAAATATATAGTATTTTCTTAATCTGTAAAATACACAATAATTCAAAATATATATTTTTAAATTATGTCGATCGATACATGCATATACAATTGTTGGTCATTACTTAATTTGGCGATGATTTGAAAAAGCTAGTTTGGCAAAATATAATTTTATTTAGTGTTATTCTGATCGTATAAAATTCGTATAATTCTTATAAATACTGGATTTTTTATCAGAATATAATACAATATTGTTTGAACTTTATTAAATGGTTTAGTTTTTTTAACTTAGTAATATGATAAATTTTATATTTTAGATGGGACGTTGAAAAATAAAATCATATCTATGATTTTACTTCCAAGTCAAAAAAATTTCAAACATTTCCCGCCATAAACCTTGAGCAGTGCATTGCGCATGAGGAAGTACGTAGTGTCAGACGTGTTGATAAATTTGGATTCAGGGATTCCCCTGTATGGAAAAGACAGTCACTGTCAAGTTAGTGTCAGTTGCCTTATTTAAAACATTAAGAAAAGAGAAAGAATTTCAACTCCTAGATAAAGTATGTAAAACTTTGAATTATACTAAAACAAAGAATGCAACGGCAAATAATCGTTTGAACAGGAATAAAATGAAAGCGACGATGGTAGAAAGTGAAAGAAGGATTTCGTAGAAGAAATATTAAGGTTTAGGTAAGAAAATTTGATTGTATGTTATTAGCCACGAAAAAGAGTTTTGGGAAATTGGCATAATAGTCTTTTTATCTGTAAGCCATTGAAAGGGAAAAACCAGAACTGTAGATAAGCTAGAGATGCCCAAGTGAAAAATTTTTCAAACAAATCACTCACAAACTGCCTACAAATTGCTTTAAAATCATTTCAAAGTGATTTGTTTCAGTGATTTGTAAGCGATTCATCTAACAAATCATGCTTAAATCACTTTCTACTAAAATGATGACTATGATTTGCTTACAATTTGTTGTGAAAGGGTGATTTGCTTGTGATTTCTTTCATATTTCAGACAATTTCTGAGTGATTTGTTAAACTTAGGAAATTGTTACAGTGATTTCTTCATGATTTGTTGAACTTAGCCATTCTTCAAGGTGATTTGAAAATGATTTCTGGAACTTAGTCTTTCTTCAAAGTGATTTGAAGATGATTTGTTAACTTAGTCTTTCTTCTGGATGATTTGTAAATGATTTGTTGATCTCATGGTCCTTCTTCAGAGTGATTTGAGAATGATTTACTTCTTAACTTCCGCCTGGCAGAGATTGGCTATTAACTCTACCGCCAATTTTCATTAATCAGATTTGAATTGAAATGAAAGCTAGGAGCTAGATTGTGCTGTTCTAGATTCTAGATGCTGTTCGAGATACCTCTCTTCTTTTGTTGAAACTGATGTTTTTTCCATAACCATGCAGAACATAGTTTTAAGGTATGTTTAACTGTATTATCTTAGATTTAGTTAATATTTCATACAATATGTTCACATGCAATTTATTGTTCTTCTACCAACAACAAATTCGGTGGCAATTAATGTTTGAAACAAAATCTATGTAAAATTATAAGCTTCAGCAAATTACTGGCTTTTTCAAAGTGTCTACACAAATATTTATTTCAGATAACTAAAAGTCAACAATTAATGCTTATGTCATGTTCTGAATTTGGAACCAAGTACATGAAGTACACATGGTACATGTGTGTATATCTAAAATACATGATGCCATCTTAATGATGACACATCCTAGTAAAAGTCTATATTTTAAAATACTCTTGCCAAATACTGGTATGCATGCATGCATGTGTGTTTCAAATATTTGAGGGATGGTTACATGAGCATCATGCATACAAGTAAGTGTGTACACCAATGATTTGAAAGTGTGTAGACTGAAGTGATTTGTTTGCAATTTATTTGAAATGATTTGTTTGCAATTTATTCGGAGTGATTTGGTTGCGATTTGTTCTACAGAAGTGATTTCTACACGATTTATTCAAAGTGATTTTGTTGTGATTTCAGGGTGATTTGCTTACAATTTGTTAGGGGTGATTTTTTAGCTCATTTGCATGGGAATTTTTCACTTACAAAAATCTTCAAATCACTGAAAAATTTCTTAAAGTGATTTGTTTGAGGATTTTTTTCACTTGGGTGTACATTAGCCTAGATCTATGACTATGTACATTTGATGATTTGTGAAACAATACCTGAATACATTGGAGTGGTCAGTGGTGAGACATATTTTTTTTTTTAAATGTGTACTGGCACTCTTTTATTTGACTCTTGGTTACAAAAGCATGTAATTTACACAGAATTTTTACATGCTGGAAACCTAAGTCTTGCGACGTTTTGTCTGTATTTACAATACACTCAGACTGTATTACATATTTATGTGTTAGTATGTATGTAGGTCTTCATTCAATCATTATTTTGCAGTACTTCAACAGAGATTGGCTATTAACCTGATGAATGTGGCACATAGATGGATTCCAACCACAGTCTGACATTGAGCAGTGCTCCACCGCTTGACCAAAGGAGTTTGACACAGCCGAGTACTTCAGATAGTCTCCAGCTTCCTGTAGCAGGAGATCTAGGAAGTTCAATCTTCAAAGATGATTCAGGTCCAAAAGAAGTCATCAAGCAACCAGAGGCATCAAATGCAGATGAAGCATCAGGTCATAAAATGGCTATACATACAGCAGATGTACTTTATCTGCGCGAAAGTAACAAGTCAATGAAAGCGTCAGGTCATGTAAGGGCTGGACAAACGATGGCTCATAGTAGACAGTTGATGAGTTCTGGGGATGATGAACTTATGTTGTCATCGCTGGAGCCAGAGGATGATATAATACCACTCTATATTCAATTATACTGGCCTATCATTGTCACATTTGTGGATGGTCTCCACTTGCTCCCCATGATGAGAGATATTTTTGAAGATCAAGGTATTATTATAATTTTGATAAAATAGGTCTATACATACTTATTGCATTTACAACTACCGTATTTATGCAGAGCCATTTGACTAAATTGACTTTCTCATAACATAATAAATATAAAAAATTAAGAACATGCATGTATGCATGCATGGATCCATGTATATATTGTAATGTGCATTTTCTGTACATTGTATTGTAAAATAGAACTTAATTTTGTTAACAAATACCAGAAACCCAAATGAATGTGTATAATGGTATCAATTTAACATGTTTGATGTAACAGTAATGATTTTCTTAGCATTTTCTTATAAATAAATTTCCACAATTCTTACATCCTTGTATCTCAGTCCAAAATTTTTTGTGGACCCTGAAATTGCTATCCTCTGAATAGAATGCTGTTTTAATTGTTTACAAATATATTATATATATATATATATATATATAATTTGATAACTCAGGAGAAAGGACACGGATTAAGACAATAACAAAGGATGAAGGGCCACAGGCTGGTATGGAGGAATTCCTGAAGTGCTTGACAGATAAGAAACATCATCCTGATCGATGGACTCGCTTGAATTATGCATTAAAAGAAGCTGGTTTGATTTATTTTTAATATTTTGTTATGATTTCTTTAAAGTTCTGATCAACATGATAATGCATATTTAACTTCCTGGTCCATTTAAAAAATTCTATAATTTCAGGGATTAATCTAGATTTGGGGGGAAACTACCCTTTCTGGAGAAATTCTGAAAATCATATGGGGGTCTGGGGGCACTCAAATTCCCCAGCAGGTGAAGGTTGAGCGCAATTAGGAAGCCCAAATGAATTTCTTCATATTAATGACCATTTAGGTTGCACAAAGTAACATGATATTTCACATCTTCTGAACATTTTTACTTTAAAGAGCAATATATGATAAGTGTCTCAAATGCCCCTTAAAATGAATATCTTAATTTTACTTAGTTTATATATAGCTTTAATTTGTACAACAATACATGTAACTTTTATTGGTAATTTTCAATTTGATCAAAATGCTGTTATTTTAGAAATATGACATCATAAAGTTCACATTTTGCTGCCATTTTAGCATATTTTGTATAAAAATATTAATGCTTTTTTTCAAGCAGTTTTTCTTTCAGAAAATATTGAGGGTAGCATAGTACAAACTTTATATTTTTACCAAAGATGTATCTATCCAATACTAATTAGTGGCAGAAAAATTAAATGAAGCTGGTCAATGTTTCCCATAGTCAAGAAAAAATATTTTTTTTATGAATAGCAAAAAATCATCATTTCTCATGTCAATTTTTTTTGCATGTAAATGTGAAAAATATATTGGAAATATTTCTAATAAAAACTTTTCTACAAAATAAATATCAATATAAACATATCTGAATTTCATTCTAAAAGTTTATTTTAGGGGGCCAAAATTGGCTCTTATCATAGTCCTTCTATTTTTTATGAAGGAAAAAAATATGTGAGCTTTTTATCTTTGAGGGGAAGATACTAAAAGGGGAAAATATATTCGAGTCTAAAATTTAATATAAATATTTTAGTCCCTGATTCAGTCTGAAATATTTTTTTTTATATGTTCAATGTTTTTTCAGATTATGATCTTGTATCTAAAGTTCTGGAAAGACAGGAAGCCATTCACACAGACACATTCAAGACTCAAAGGCGTCTTATAGACATTTTTGCACTTGAAATTTACAAAAAACTGAAGCCAAGTGAAATTGTCCCCGATTTGTACTCCAAAAAAATTATAAACAGAGACATCAAAGATGCTGTGATGATTGATGAAAGAAACAATGGAGAGGCCTCGGCAACGATTGTCCTTATTGATAATATATGGCGATGTAAAAAGAATTGGTTACCAATCTTCTTAGAGGTTCTTTGTAAAAATGATTATAAGGAACTTGTTAAAAAAATAGATGACACTTTTCTTGAGAGTAAGTTTTTTTTATTCATGTTTTTAAGAAATATTGTTAACTTGAAAGATCTAGGATGATTGAGATACATATTTTTAATTAAATCAAAGAAAAAAATTCCCAAACCTGACCAGTAGATCTCAAAACAAAACTATGATGAAGCTCGTACTTTAAATTTGTAATTGCATAATTATGATGAACATTTTTTTCATTGTCAAAATGAATGTGCCAATGCATTTTGTTGATTTATTTTTAAGAAAGACAACAGAAACTTCAGGAAGGTGAAGAGCACCTGGTTAGCTCCGACTTTGATGAAGACAAGGATGCCAAGGACACTGAAAAGTCTCAGAGGGATGATTCTGATCAGAACGGTGACAAATCAAGATCTCGCGAGTTACAGAGAGAGATATCTCACAATTCTATGTCACCCACCAAACAAGAGCAGGATAAAACCAACTCTATACAAGAGGACTACCTCTCAAGTAAGGAGCCTATCTAGCATGTAATAAAGAAATATTTGTCAAGAATTTTTAGGGGATGATGTACCCACATTTGAGCATTATACCAGATAATGTTAATTGTCAATTTCTTGTGTGAGTAGATTTAGATTTAAAATTGATGAAAAACTACTTTTTTTGCTCTGAAGTTAAAATTAATAATTTTTGTAAGTTCAGACAGGATTGTATATGAATTTGCAGCCATCATTTCTTGAACTTTTACAGACACTGGTGCCAGTTTTTAACATTTTTTACTCAATAAGGTTACATGTATATATATATATCATATAATACTCTATCATTTACATGTACAGGGACATTTGAAGTGGAGAAGTCTGTCAACAATTTGAGTGGAAATCCTATGGAAGAAAGCCTGGATAGTGAATTTGAAGCCTTGACTCAAAACATGGATGAATCTTTATCTATCCATGAAGATTCTGAACAAACCAGTAGAAAACTAGCAGGGTATGAGGCTGACAACAGAGCTTTGTCAACCACCATGGACAACAGAAGTTTGGCGTCAAACACGGACAACCGAAGCTTGCAGTCAAACACTGACAACACGGTGGCCAGTTGTCCAGATTTGGACTCTATGGCTATAGTGAATGCCTGTCAGAGTCTGGATAGAGAGGTGGAATCTTCTACAGGTCGACCAAACATCATCAACAGTGGTGAGATTTTTTAACATTGTGACACTTTACTTTCACAGGAAAGTCATTTGATGTTTATAAGATTTGAAATTTTTGTAATTCTGAAAATTTTTTGGCATAATCTGTATTGATAAACAAGCTTGCTTAAGTACATGAAAATTAATGGGAATAAAAAGTGATTTTCAAACAAACAGATACAAACAAGCTGGCTTAAGTACATAAAAAAAAAGTAATGGGAATAAAAAGTGATTTTCAGTATATATATATATGTATATTTTAGATAGGGGGTTTAGATGTTGTTGATGAGAAATATAGGAATCTTAATTATGAATACTGGTAGTTAGGTTAGAGGGAGAGAAGTTGAGATATAATAAGTCATCAACTTCTAGTCAAATGTCTGTGTACTGATGTTCTCAGGTTCCAGTGGAAGTCTGATGGAAATAAACAAGCGTGTTAATTTGGAGGAATCAGATGACGAGGATGACGATCTTAATGATCCTAAAGAGGAGTTAAAATTACGAAGTTATCAGATGGAGCTGGCAAGGCCTTCACTGGAGGGCAAGAACTCTGTCATTGTGGCCCCCACTGGAAGTGGGAAAACACATGTGGCTCTCTATATCATCAAGGTATCAATTACAAGATATTTACATCAATCATATTCTCTGTATTTTACATATTCAACCAGTTCATTTTACCATGAGTTCAAACTATTTATTCAGTTTCATCAAGTGAAATTTTTTCGGTATCATAAGCTGAATTTTCTATGCTATATTTTCTTTCAATAGGACCATATGGAGAAAATAAAATCTGTGAGACACCCGAAAGTGATATTCCTGGTGGAACAAAGTGCCCTGGCAGAGCAACAAGGCAAACAGTGTATGACTTACCTTCCGTATAGAGTCAAGGTCATTACCGGTGAAACTCAGAGAAATGAGAGGATGAAGACTTTAAATGAATGGATACAAAGGTTAGAATAAAAGAGTACACTCTCTTTGTATTGTACAAATTGTTTGGTATTTTATTTTTCTGAATTATAATCTGAATTTCTTATTTGATCTTGAATGATTATCTGTTCGCAAATATCAGCATTATTTAAGGCATTTATTTATATGTATCTTGATTATGGTAAATGAGTCAATTTTTTTCTTTTGATAAAGATATAAGATATACAGATTAAGGAATATCTAATATACATGTATAAAGATATACAGATCTTTGAATTGATAAAGTATTAAAAAAAAAAAAGGAAAAGTTTTATGGGTGAAATTGAGACAGCCATTGTGTAACTTTTTCTATGAATTAGGCGTGACTTGCTGGTGGTGACCGCCCAGATTCTGTTGAATGCTCTGCGAGATGGTATCGTCAATGTCACCGACTTCTCCCTAATGGTGTTTGATGAATGTCACCATGCCAACGACAACCATTCCTACAACATGATCATGAATAAATACCTGGACATCAAATTTCAGGAAAAGGAGAATGCTAAAAATCTACCAATGGTATTTGATTTTGATATCTCCTTTCTAAGTGTATTTTTCTATGTATAGACAGCTGCTCATGTATAAACTACCAATTATGTGCAATGCAATTTATTACTTTAAGACAGAATTAAGTAATAAATGCTACCTATTAGAACTCAACAAAAAGTTCAAGACAATTTTTTTAACTTCTTTGTTTTTAGCTCACCTGAGCTGAAGGCTCAAGTGAGCTTTTCTGATCAAAATTTGTCCGTTGTCTGTCGTCGTCGTAGTCGTTGTCGTTGTTGTAAACTTTTCACATTTTCATCTTCTTTCAAGAAAAATCTTTTCAACCAAACTTGGCACAAAGTATATAAAGTGAAGGGGATTCAAATTGGAATAGGGCCACGCCCTTTTAAAAAGTGATCATGAATTTGTTAAACATTAATGGCATTTTTAAAAAATCTTCTTATACACCGCTCAGACATCAAATTTTGTTGAAATTCTCAGGCCTTTAATAAGTAAATATGTTGTGTTATAGATTGTTGGCATGAATGCCTCTGTTTTACATAGGAATATATATAAGAAAAATCTTTAAAAAACACATTGAGAAGGTCATGGCAAACATGGACGCATGTGAAATGATTGTGACTGTAGATTCAAGTTTGAAATCAACCCCCGGGGAACTGGGGCCAAAATGGCAACATACCACAGCAAAGTAATATCACTAAATATATTAAAAATCTAGCTAAAAATTAAGTAACGGTACTGATTGCCAGTGATTTGTCATCGACTGCACTGTAGCTGAAAAAAATTCCTTCAGGTAGTGCAAAAAAAAGTTTGTTCAATATTTTTACCCCCGGGGCAAGGGTGGGGATCACAATGGTCCGTCCAAGTTTTACATAGTCCAATATATAGGAAAAATCTTTAAAAATCTTCTTCTCCAGAACCACTGGGCCAGGAAAGATGAAACTCATGTACAAAGCATTCTTGGGTGAAGGGAAAATTAAATTGTTAAAATGACCCCCAGGGCAAGGTGGGGCCAAAATGGGACCCAAGTTTTACATAGGAATATATAGGAAAAATCTTTAAAAATCTTCTTCTCCAGAACCACTGGGCCAGGAAAGATGAAACTCATGTGGAATCATCCTTAGGTAGTGTAGATTCAAGTTTGTTCAAATCATGACCCCCAGGGCAAGGATGGGGCCAAAATGGCCGACCCAAGTTTTACATAGGAATATATAGGAAATATATTTAAAAATCCTTCTCAATTACCACTGGGCCAGGAAAGATGAAACTGATAGGGAAGCCATCCTCAGGTAGTGTAGACTCAAGTTTTTTTCAAATCATGACCCCCAGCCTTGGGGATAGGGTGGGGCCAAAATGGCCGACCCAAGTTTAACATAGGGATATATAGGGAAACCTATTAAAATCTTCTTTTCAAGTACTTCAAAGCTATGATTAGTGATACCCGGGGTATTTATATGGAATCATCCTCAGGTAGTGTAGATTCTAGTTTGTCCAAATGATGAACGCCTGGAAGGGGGGGGAGGAGTAAATTCAAGCCCGATGTGCTCAGGTGAGCGCTGTGGCCCCTGGGCCTCTTGTTTATAATCTGTCCATACATTAACTTTAAAAAAGGACCAACAATTCCAAAAAATAACCACAAGGTCAGTGCTTTGTGAGTAATATTTGCAGGTTTATACATGTATTATAAAAAAAAACTTTTTAAAAACAGCAGAAGCAAAGTACATGTGTAATTTAAATTGCAGTCGGTGTTTAAAAGTGACATAGTTGATTATTTCCCAATTGTTTACAGATACACCCTCTGACATTGTTGAATTCTGCCTTTAATAAGTAAATTGTGACTTGACTGATCAGCCTTGGGATTTTCTTACATATTTAGTATGTTGTGTTATAGATTGTTGGCATGACTGCCTCTGTAACACAGTAGGGAAAGCCTCAGACGAGGAGAAGGCTAAAAAACACATAGAGAAGGTCATGGCAAACATGGACGCTGAAATGATTGTAACTGTGACGGAAAACAAACGGGAACTGGCCAAACATGTCAACATACCACAGCAAAGTAATATAGTAATTAATTTATTATCTAGCTAAAAATCAAGTATTGATTGTTTGTGATTTGTCATTGACTAGCTGAAAAACATTCCTTCTGATGGAAAAAAAAATTACTTAGTACATATTTTTTTTTAAATTGTAATGTAAGAATCCCTTGTGATTTAGTGAACCAGAAAAATCATGTCAGATGTAACGGTACTTTGAATTCTAGATTCAGGATTTTCATTACCTCCCATCATATGCACAAATGAATTCTTACTATGTTTTTGTAGAACTCTACAAGGTGAAGAGAAGAGAAAAGAACTATTATGGAACACTTCTTGAAAAGTTAGTGGAGACAATAGAGAAATACATGAAGAATTCCAGATGTGAGTTCTGAGAAGTTTATCAATTAAATAAAGCTAATGGTGCAAAGAAACTTGCTTAATATTTTGAACCATCTAAATGACACAGTTTGTATGCTTTACAACCTAAGAAGAAACATTTTTATTTTTACAGATCTAGAGCAGGTGAAGTCTCCAGATGCTGTTATAAAGCCTCCCCTGGAGAAGGGTTCTGATCAGTACACACAGTGGGTCAGCATGCTGTGGAGAGAGACCGCTAAAATCAACGACCAGGCTGCCGGACGATTCTACGACACGTGTCGGAGGTATCTTGATGTAAGTCTTCTAATATCTTGCCTGAGTTTCACACATCAAATTTTCCTGAAGTGTATGCATATAAATACATTCAGTTTCACATATGAGTTCCCATGTTCTACCCTCAGAATAATTATAAGGTCAATTTTATCTAAATTACATGTATATCCACAAAATATTACGAGATGAAAAGGATTCATTTTTTTTTCTTTTATTTATAGTGCATGAAAACATATTAGTGAATCTTGAATTAATACATATCAACATAATTTTTGCTAAACAGATCTACATGTACAATTTGAAAAATTTGTATTTTATCCAACAGTTATACAACAAGGCTTTGATTGTCTACAAAGATGCCAGGCCAAGTGATTCATTGTCATTTATCCTGAAAGAAACAAAAAAATGGGAGCTGACGGTCAAAGCTGATGAAACTGAGGGGAAACTGAAGAGGATGTTTGATAGTGTGTAATATTTGCATTAGAATAGAATTTTGATTTATATTTTTTCCTTTGTTTATTTTTTCAGTATTAATTATGTAAACTTTGAATAATGTATGTCATATTGTTGCTTTTAATACTTGGACAAAAACTGCTTCAATAATGATGCACACAATTCTGTGTTTGGATTCTTGTGCTATATTGTCTGAAGTATTGCATTGTTTTCTTTGAACACAGAAACTAAAGACTTGCTTGAAAAGTGCACTGAAGACCCTAAGCACAGAAACCCTAAACTTGAGGCCCTGAAACACATGATTGTGGATTACTTCAAGGATAATCCGGACTCCAGAGTGATTGTGTTTGTCAAAACAAAAGAGTTAGTCAAGGCCATAGAGACATTTATGAATGAAACTGATGAACTGCGTAATCTCAATCCTAAGCAGTTTGTTGGCGTGCAAGCCAATAAGGAGAAAGGAGGTTTGTAAAAGATTTTAGGTGTAATAGTTTCTCCATAGAAAATAAGATTTTCTGTTGCTATAATATGAATTGAGGGCCCTATATAGGAATTACTTTTATTAGATTGTATGTCCGTTCATCAAAATTTTTGTTGTAATAATTAAGGCAATTTTTAGCTCTACTGGTCAGAGACCAGAAGAGCTTATGCGATAGTAATGCGTCCGGCGTCCGTCCGTCTGTCTAGCTGTCTGTCTGTAAACAATTTCTCAAAATGCTACTCCTCCTACAGTTTGGTCTGATTTCAGTATAACTTGGCATACAGGTAGACTACACTAAGATACATAATTCTGTATATCGGTTTTTGATTTCGATGAACGGTGTTGCCGTGGTTACTAAAAATAGAAATTTCTGTGAAATTCTTTCAAAACACTACTCCTCCTACAGTTTTGGTCTGATTTCAATATAACTTGGCACACAAGTAGACTACACTAAGATACATAATTCTGTGTATCGGTTTTTGATTTCGATGAACGGTGTTGCCGTGGTTACTAAAAATAGAAATTTCTGTGAAATTCTTTCAAAACACTACTCCTCCTACAGTTTTGGTCTGATTTATATATAACTTGGCACACAAGTAGACTACACTAAGATGCATAATTCTATTTATCGGTTTTTGATTTCGATGAACGGTGTTGCCGTGATTTCTAAAAATAGAAATTTCTGTGAAGTTCTTTCAAAACACTTCTCCTCCTACAGTTTTGGTCTGATTTCAGTATAACTTGGCACACAAGTAGACTACACTAAGATACATAATTCTCTATATCGGTTTTTGATTTCGATGAACGGTGTTGCCGTGGTTACTAAAAATAGAAATTTCTGTGAAATTCTTTCAAAACACTACTCCTCCTACAGTTTTGGTCTGATTTCAATATAACTTGGCACACAAGTAGACTACACTAAGATACATTATTCTATTTATCGGTTTTTGATTTCGATGAACGGTGTTGCCGTGGTTACTAAAAATAGAAATTTCTGTGAAGTTCTTTCAAAACGCTACTCCTCCTACAGTTTTGGTCTGATTTCAATATAACTTGGCACACAAGTAGACTACACTAAGATACATAATTCTGTGTATCGGTTTTTGATTTCGATGAACGGTGTTGCCGTGATTACTAAAATAGAAATTTCTGTGAAATTCTTTCAAAATGCTACTCCTCCTACAGTTTTGGTCTGATTTCAATATAACTTAGCACACAAGTAGACTACACTAAGATACATAATTCTGTTTATCGGTTTTTGATTTCGATGAACGGTGTTGCCCTGGTTACTAAAAATAGAAATTTCTGTGAAGTTCTTTTAAAATGTAACGATCCCTCCCCCATTTTTCTTGAATCTCATTTTTTTTATCTTGGTATTTTTCTAAAGCACTTTCATGCATATTTTAAATTCATTCATCAATTCTTGCATGGAATGTTGAAATGTCCAGCGAGAGTTATTTCTTAATTGTTGGTTGACAACTGTTTATATGCAGCGAAGATGCCGTTTTTCTTGTGTTTCGATGTGTTGAATGTCAGACATCGTCTTACTATTTAATTACACGCTTTTTGTTGGCTTAATTGTTCATACGTAATTGTAAAGTTGCACTGTAATTTAGGATTATCTTAAAGTTACCTTATTTCTTGTGTGATCGATGTTTTATGGTCTTCGAGTACACACGTTTCACTGAAACTTCTGCCGCCGCCATACTTTGTTTACTTGTGTATTTTCCCGTGATGCTTCACGGTGATCTATTTTTACTGGAGTTATTTCGGCGGAAGATTTGATTGTAAATTCTTTTAAATTAAATGTTAAACAGTGTTAAATGAGCTTTTAAAAGTGTAACTTTATGTTTTATGAATTTATTTAATTTATTTACTTATTGTAATAATTTTACATACGATGTACGAGAGTGAGATTTCATTACGGGACGATGATTATATTTGATTGGTTGATTATTATTTACGGGATGGAATTATTAATTTTGATTGGTTATGAATTATTGCGGGTTTTGTTAATTCTATAAATACTCGGATGCTGAATATCGTTTGCTCTCTTGTTTTCTTTGTGACCTAGGGAAAGGTTGCCAGTTTTGTCCAGAGTAATTTAAGGTGTGTACTATTTCAGTATCTAAGTGACTGAAGTACATAATACGTAATGTTAGGTTAGGCTAAATTCATATTACTAGTAATTGTACTAGTTTTATTTATAATTACTAGTTGTGAACTAGTTATTTTTATCTTCTTTAGCCCAGTTTAGGAGTTAGGAAATATTTCTGCTGCGTGCTAGTAGTTGAACTAGTAGCGGGAATATTTATTTGTAAATTAATTATAAGTCATTTATAGAGAGCCTTTACGTTTTATTTTGGTCGGGGGAATTTCTACTTAAATCATAAATTTACTGGAAATAGTGCCAGTTGCCCAGTCCTATATCAGTAGTTGTACTGATTTTGGTCTTAGATCTATGTCCCGAGGGTTGAGACTTGTGAATTTCAAACTGTTATTTATTTTCGCTGTTTATGAATTACTGAATAAAATTATAAAACTTTACATCGGAGTTTTTGTTCTCAACACAAGGCAGGCGTTCCGAAGCGTTACAATTTTGGCATCCACGGCGGGATCCGTTTAAATTTACGGGTCCTGTGATCGAATCATAACAACGCTTTGTCTGTGTTTGAGAAACAAAAATTTTATTAAGCAAATCAAATAAAAATAAATCACAATGGCAGGACGTAGAAGTCGACGGAAGCGTCGTGGTCTTCAAGAATCCAGACCTACCTCACGAGTTTCGTGTTCCTCTGTAGATACTGTAAGAGAAAATGAAAGCGAATGTGAATTTCCGTGTGAAGGAGCTGACATGCACAGAACTAAACCACTTGTTCATTCAAATAAAGAAGCCTCTCAATTTTTACGTAACTCAGATACAAGTTTAATGCTTGTGAGTTCTCAGGCAGACGTTGTGAGAGATGGAGAATCTACACCTTTTATTGGGAACTCAGATACAGTTTCTGTAACTGTGAGTACCACTACAGAGCAGCCACAGACAGCACACAGTGTAGTGACGCCTAAAATGAGCCATCTTCACACCTGTGGTCCCACAACTCCGATGCCTTTTGTACCTGTTTGCTCACATTTTGCTGAGAATTTATGTACAGGTTTTCCTAGAGAGACGACAGCTGTCCCTAGTATGTATATACCTGCAGTCCCCAGTACAGGTACTCACATGAGTCCCTCCACAACACAGACAGCAAGTCCAGTATCTGGGTTACCTGTGAACTCTCATACACACAGCACTTTGAGTTCATGTACAGGTACATGTACCAATTATCACACTACCTTACCTGTAAACTCTTATGCAGTTCCTTGTACTGCGAGTTTTCAAGGTCCTGTTTATTGTCATCAAAACCAGAGTGCCCATATATTTACTCCATTCCCCACAATTACAACACCAGGTCACAGCATTTGCACGAGAACTCATTTACCTCTAAGTTTGTGTACAGGTTCTGTACCTGTTGGTCTAAGTACAGGTTCTGTGCCTGTTAGTTCATGTACAGGTTCTGTACCTGTTGGTCTAAGTACAGGTTCTGTACCTGTAAGTTTGTGTACAGGTTCTGTACCTGTGATGCTGAATCAGACCTTCTCTGCTCCCATGAGAAGTGCACGAGATATATCAAAGACAGAAAGCGAGCAAACTGCACTTGTCCAGCTCACGGAGATGGTAGAGCATTTACAAGAGAAAATTAAACAGCTCACTGAACAAGATCACCACCAAAGGATCAACCCTGACAACAGACAATCAGATACATGCAGTACATCTCATGAGTGTTTGAGTAGCGACAGAGGAACATTGCAAGAGTCTGACTTTGTGTACCGGAAAAAGGCTAAGCATCGCAATGTAAAGATTCCTCCATATACAGGAAAAGAAGACTGGTCTGTCTGGTTCTGTCGTTTTGAGGAAGTAGCAGATAGATACCACTGGACAACAGATGACAAACTGGACCAATTACTGCCCAGATTACATGAAGATGCTGCTGACTTTGTATATGGCCAATTATCGAAAGAATCCAGAAGCAGCTATAAGAGACTTGCAAAGGAACTGACCAATCGTTTTCGTGCAATCGAAACCAGTCGAACATATCTGTCGAAATTTAATAACAGAGTTCAGAAGCCTGGTGAGCGAGTCGAGGACTTTGCTGCTGATCTAAAGCGCCTGTATGTCAAAGCCCACCCAGAGCGAGACTCAAAGACTAGGGAGGAAGACTTGCTCAGGAAGTTTTTAGATGGTCTGGCTGACAGAGAAGCCCAATTTCATGTAGAATACGTCAAGGACCCCTCAGATATACATGAAGCTGTACGACAAGTTATAAATTATGAAGAAGCAGGTCGGCCTTCAACTAAGAAACATGTCAGAGAGGTGAAGTTGCTGTACAGTGATTCTGAATCTGAGGCCTCATCTAAGACAGTCATTAAGGCCAAGTCGATGAAAAAGAAGCGCATCAGAAATGTAAAGTACGGCCAAGGAAACAAACAAGCATCAGTTGGCACTATCGAAGCCTTGCAGAAACAAGTCGATGAGATGGCAAAAGTTCTCAGCAACCTGACTAAGCAGAGCAACACTGGGACACAGCCAAGTAGGCCTATTATTGGTACATCTCAACCAGACATGTCTTCTAGTCAAATGGCTCCTCTGGACAGACCACAGAAACATAGCTGTTTTTACTGCAAAGCTGAAGGTCATTTCATAAGGGACTGCCCAAAGAGAATTAATGACCTTCAAGTATCAAAGGCACCTTTAAACAGGCATTAGCCGTTCCTGTGGGTCAAGGACCGGCTACAGAAGAAACTGACAGACAGACGAACAGTTTAGACCCACCAACAGACCGACAACCAGATAATTTTGATGAGTCAGAAGATTTTTGTTTTATTTCTAATCGAATACCAGATGCAGATGGTGTGTACATAGAAGGAAAAGTAAATGGTTTAGACGTCCATATTACAACAGATACTGGTGCATCCAATACTATACTTTCATACAAAGTGTATGAACAACTCAAAGAGGTGAACAGACCCAGACTTCAAGGAAAGTCGCACTTACGAGGAGCTGACGGAAGTACCATTCATGTTTATGGGAAAGGAGCGTTTGATTTGCAACTTGGTTCCTTGACCCTCAAGAAAAACCTTTTAGTAGCTGATATCCAAGATGAAGTGTTACTTGGAGTGGACATCCTGCAGAATAGTGATATTGGTCAAGCAGATATTCTCCTGAGTAAAGGACTGATAAGGTTCAAAGGTCATGATATTCCATGCATACAACGTGGTGTGCATAAAGATATTACCCTCCGTTGTGTGGAGAGGTGTGATATACCTGGGAATACAGAAGTAATAATACCGGCTTTTGTACAGCGTGAATGTGAGGTTGATGTTGAGGAGGACCTTATGTTCGTGCCAAGTGGAGATCTTATGGAGAAGACCTCCTTACTGTTTGCCCCAGCAGTTCTTAACATCAGAGGGAAACTGTGTGTACCCCTGAGAGTTATGAACCCTTTTGATGAGGGTAAAACGCTTTATCCAGACACAGTAGTGGGTACTGTCGAAGGATATGGGGGAATAGTAAATGTAATTCGACCGGTTTATAGTGACCTAAGAAGCCTTCGCCGATCTACTGAACTTTCGCCTGGAGAGGCATGTGAGGTTCCAGATCATTTACGTGAACTGTATGATGGCTCTTCCCAGTCCTTAAATATGTCAGAAAAAGAAGCTTTTCGGAAATTCTTGCTTGACCATCAGGATGCATTTTCAAAAGATGAATGGGACCTAGGGCAAACCAATTTAGTAGAACATGAAATTAATACTGGTGAGAGCAAACCTGTAAAACAGCCACCTCGTAGAGTTCCAATAGCGCTAGCCAATGAGGAGAGAGATGCCATTCTGAACCTTAGAGAGAGGGGCATAATACAACCTTCTACATCACCTTGGTCCTCTCCACTGGTCTTAGCTAGAAAGAAGAATGGAAAAATAAGAGTCTGTGTAGATTATAGAGCTGTAAATAATTTAACAGTTAAGGATGCATTCCCACTTCCACGAATTCAAGACTGCCTAGATTCCGTTGCAGGAGCTTCAATGTTTTCCACTCTGGATTTGACAGCAGGATATCACCAAGTCAGAGTTAAGGCTGAAGATATACCAAAAACAGCATTTGTTACAAAATATGGTCATTTCGAGTATAAAACCATGCCTTTTGGATTGACCAATGCACCAGGTACATTCCAAAGACTTATGGAGATGGCATTAAATGGCCTCCAGTGGGACATTTGTCTTATTTATTTGGACGACATAGTGATATTTAGCAGAAATTTTGATGAACACATGTGCAGACTTAGCCAGGTGGTTCAGAGAATAACAGATGCAGGTTTAAAATTGAAACCTGAGAAATGTAGCCTTTTTCAAGATGAAGTTATTTTCCTTGGACATAAAGTCACTAAAGATGGAGTCTTACCAGATAAGCAGAATGTAGAGAAAATTTTGAATTGGAGCAGACCAAATAATGTTACTGAAGTACGACAATTTCTTGGAACTGCCTCTTACTACAGGAGATTTATAAAAGGTTTTTCGATGATAGCTAAACCTCTTACTGAACTTACACAAAAGAACCATTCTTTTCATTGGACAGACTCATGCGAGCAAGCATTTCTACAATTGAAGAAAATCCTTACTGGGCCCGATATAATGGGATATCCTGACCCAAACCAAGGCCATTTTATACTCGACACAGACGCCTGTGATGTAGGCATTGGTGCTGTATTGAGCCAAGTACAGGACGGACGTGAGAAAGTGTTGGCCTATGGGAGTCGAACCCTAAACCGTGCTGAAAGGAACTATTGTGTAACTGATAAAGAGCTCCTAGCTGTTCGTTACTTTGTGGAATACTTCAAACAATATCTTTTAGGACAAAGATTTATCCTTAGGACTGATCACCAAGCATTAGTATGGCTATATAAGCTGAAAGAACCTAAAGGAAGAGTGGCTCGCTGGATTGAAATATTGTCAGCCTACAATTTTGAAATCGAGTATAGGCCTGGTACACAGCATGGTAATGCTGACGGTCTATCAAGATGTCCGAACCCAGCCGACTGTAGCTGCTCAGAAGGTGACAGTTTAGAAAGCCTGAAATGTGGACCTTGTATTAAGTGCAGAAAGAGAGCTGAGACTATGGAAACTTAGGAAAACCTTAATCAGGGGGGTGCTATTCGTGTGACAACAAGAAAGCGTGACAGTTCTAAAAATTTACCTGAAGGGACACAATGGATGTCAAAGTACAACTCATCAAGTCTACAATGTCTCCAGATGGAAGATAATGGTATTGGTCCAGTGCTTAAGTGGAAACTGGCAGGAAGTAAACCTACAAAAGAGGAAGTGGTCAAATACTCTCCAGCAACCAGATGTTCCGTTCCGCAGCAGGAGACAGCATAGGATGTGATTCTAGGACAGAATTAAATTGGTAATTTTGAGTAATAAGTAATGTAAGTTAGGAAAATATTCATTTTAATATTTGTGATTAATCGGGAGATAAAGTTAGAACTGGGAAGGTTTTTGGATTTTATATGTAATTTTTTCAAAATTTGATATTTTAAACATTGTAATGAGATTCATTTCTGTAATATTACTTACCTTTGATATTTTTGCTTGCCAAGTGTCCATCCCCTTAAAGTCTTTTTCTGTAATCCTGTGAATGAAAATAAGAAAGATTGTACATTACTTGTTATTTACAAGTTATACTTATAGAACTTATGTGTTTAAAGTATTAGCATTAGTGTTATCAGGACGCTGTATATTTACAAGTATTTATGATGAATTTATCAGAGAGGCTGCTAATATCTTGTACATCCATTGTTTTTGTAAGATAAACTCATTCTTTAAATGGCAGTTATTAAATATTAATTGAATAATTATAATTCATGTACATTTTGACTTACTTACCTTATCACACTGTGTATTATGCTCTGCTCATTTTGTCTTCATGGAATTATGATGAACTTCATGTTTTAATTCAGAATTTTGTGTTATGTATAAAGTTTCTATTATATTGATAAGTGATATGCAGGAAGGTTGGTGTAGTAGTGTTATAGTTTGTAAAATTCTATGATTTATTCATTCCTAGAGATGTGAATTTTTGAGAGGAGTTGATACATTTTTTTTGGTAAGCTTTGTGAAGTACAGCATTTGTTTCTGAGTAGTTTCCCTTGTGTGTATAGATTAGCTGTACTGTTCAGTGTTCATGGAAGTATATGTGTATCGAGTGTAGAGTATAAAGTAGAATATTGAAATATGTCATTGATTGTTTTAATTAATTGTTGTATGTGAATTTTATTGTTTGTATTTTGAGTCCAAAGGGACTTGGACTCTTAGAGAGGGGCAAAATGTAACGATCCCTCCCCCATTTTTCTTGAATCTCATTTTTTTTATCTTGGTATTTTTCTAAAGCACTTTCATGCATATTTTAAATTCATTCATCAATTCTTGCATGGAATGTTGAAATGTCCAGCGAGAGTTATTTCTTAATTGTTGGTTGACAACTGTTTATATGCAGCGAAGATGCCGTTTTTCTTGTGTTTCGATGTGTTGAATGTCGGACATCGTCTTGCTATTTAATTACACGCTTTTTGTTGGCTTAATTGTTCATACGTAATTGTAAAGTTGCACTGTAATTTAGGATTATCTTAAAGTTACCTTATTTCTTGTGTGATCGATGTTTTATGGTCTTCGAGTACACACGTTTCACTGAAACTTCTGCCGCCGCCATACTTTGTTTACTTGTGTATTTTCCCGTGATGCTTCACGGTGATCTATTTTTACTGGAGTTATTTCGGCGGAAGATTTGATTGTAAATTCTTTTAAATTAAATGTTAAACAGTGTTAAATGAGCTTTTAAAAGTGTAACTTTATGTTTTATGAATTTATTTAATTTATTTACTTATTGTAATAATTTTACATACGATGTACGAGAGTGAGATTTCATTACGGGACGATGATTATATTTGATTGGTTGATTATTATTTACGGGATGGAATTATTAGTTATGATTGGTTATGAATTATTGCGGGTTTTGTTAATTCTATAAATACTCGGATGCTGAATATCGTTTGCTCTCTTGTTTTCTTTGTGACCTAGGGAAAGGTTGCCAGTTTTGTCCAGAGTAATTTAAGGTGTGTACTATTTCAGTATCTAAGTGACTGAAGTACATAATACGTAATGTTAGGTTAGGCTAAATTCATATTACTAGTAATTGTACTAGTTTTATTTATAATTACTAGTTGTGAACTAGTTATTTTTATCTTCTTTAGCCCAGTTTAGGAGTTAGGAAATATTTCTGCTGCGTGCTAGTAGTTGAACTAGTAGCGGGAATATTTATTTGTAAATTAATTATAAGTCATTTATAGAGAGCCTTTACGTTTTATTTTGGTCGGGGGAATTTCTACTTAAATCATAAATTTACTGGAAATAGTGCCAGTTGCCCAGTCCTATATCAGTAGTTGTACTGATTTTGGTCTTAGATCTATGTCCCGAGGGTTGAGACTTGTGAATTTCAAACTGTTATTTATTTTCGCTGTTTATGAATTACTGAATAAAATTATAAAACTTTACATCGGAGTTTTTGTTCTCAACACAAGGCAGGCGTTCCGAAGCGTTACAAAAACGCTACTCCTCCTACAGTTTTGGTCTGATTTCAATATAACTTGGCACACAAGTAGACTACACTAAGATACATAATTCTGTGTATGGGTTTTTGATTTCGATGAACGGTGTTGCCGTGGTTACAAAAAATAGAAATTTCTGTGAAATTCTTTCAAAACGCTACTCCTCCTACAGTTTTCGTCTGATTTCAGTATAATTTGGCACACAGGTAGACTACACTAAAATGCATAATTCTGTGTATCAGTTTTTGATTTCGATGAATGGTGTTGCCGTCGCCCGTGGTTACTAAAAATAGAAATTTCTCTGAAAATCTTTCAAAACACTACTCCTCCTACAGTTTTGGTCTGATTTCAATATAACTTGGCACACAAGTAGACTACACTAAGAACTTAAAGAGACTTAATCAAGGATCATTATTGTATTTATTGCTATTGTAAAGTTCCAATTCCCAACTGCTTAAGTACTTTTCTCTCCCGTTGCTATAAGTACAAACCAGTAGAGCTTCAGTCTCGACAGAGACTTCTGGTTACTGTTAAGTTTTTCATATCTTCTCTTCCAGAACTAGTGTTATTTGCGAAGGAAACTTAATATAAATCAGATATTCCAGAAAAGCTCCACCAATCCCCTTATAGACAATATATTGTCACATTTCTTAAAACCCTCATTTAATTAATATCGAATACCTTACATTTTAGACCTAAACATTTCTAAACAAGCAAATTCAAAGAATTGTCCCCCGCTTTCGATGTCTTTTTGGGAGAGATGTCATTATTTTAATGAAATTTTGTGTCTAATATGAACGCCCTATCATAAGTAATCTATTTAGATATTATCACTGAACTCCAAGGTCAGGGACAAAGGGTTAACGTTCTTGGTATCCAATGAAAAGTCTTCTCAAAAGGATCACATATGTGAAGTATGAAAGCCCTAGCCCGTACCATTCAAAAGTTATAGTCAAGGTTAAAGTTTTCTCATAAGTACAAAAAATCACCAAGGTCAAGGTCAAAAGGTCAAGGTTGTTGGTATCAAATGAAAGGTCTTGCCACAAAGAATACGTATGTGAAATATGAAAGTCCTGGTATCTACTGTTCAAAAGTTGTGGCCAAGGTCAAAGTTTTTGAAAAGTAGGTCAAACTCCAAGGTCAAGGTCCAAGGGGCAAAGTTCTTGATTTTAAAGAAAGGTCTTCTCACAAGAATAATATATATGAAGTATGAAAGTCCTAGCCCTTACCATTCAAAAGTTATGGTCAAGGATAAAGTTTTTTCATAAGTACAGAAATCTCCAAGGTCAAGGTCAAAAGGTCAAAGTTGTTGGTATCCAATAAAAGGTCTTGCTACAAAGAATACATATGTGAAATATGATAGTCCTAGTATTTACCATTCAAAAGTTATGGCCATAGTAAAAGTTTGGAATTTTTGTGTAAAACTGGGTCAAACTCCAAGGTCAAGGTCAGAAGGTCAAAGTTGGTGGTACCCAAAGAAAGGTCTTGTCACAAGGAATACACATATGAAATATGAGAAGTCATAGCTCCACTGAATCAAAAGTTATGGGCAAGGTTAAAGTTTTTGTGACAGACTGACGGACAGACAGACAGACAGAAAGACGGACAGATGAATGAGATTTAATGTCCCCTCGCTTTCGCAAAAGCGGGGAACAATTAGTATATCAGAAAACAATGCCAAATAGGCAATAGAGCCGTATGATGTTGCCAATAAGAATACAGCCAATGTTCATAATGGTTTGTTAGTTTTCTCACATATAAGCTGAGCTAGAGCTTACAAGTAAATGTTCCCATCTCAAGAGTGACAAGTATCTTTTTTCTTAAAGACTCTTATATAAATATCCCCCAATGATTTAAAAAGCAAGTTTTATTTCCTTTTTCAAAAGATAAATTCCGTAAAGCAAAATGGAAATCTCGCTGAACAAATCTTCAACTTGAATATATATATTCACGATAGCTCTTGGAGCAAATCTTTTCCCTGTGACAAGGAATAAAATCTTTAATTTGCCTTTGGCATATTCAAAATTTAGAAAACAAAATCAAAATAGGTCAGAATAAAGGGGTGGAGCTTTTCATAAAGATAAAATATTTTTGCACATAAAACAACCCAGTTAATGATAATAGCTTAGCTGACACTTTTCATAACTTGACATTTGCCCGATTTCAGAAAGGCACATATAATTGATATAAAGAGCACATCCTTCTATGTGTGATTCTAGAAACAAAGAGTTTTTAATGCAGAGTAAGCATATATCAAGTTTTATTTTGCTACATCAGAATAACCTTTAGTAAATAGATGTAAAAATATTCAGTTTAACCCCCCCCCCCACCACCACCCCTACCAAAGAAGTTAATTTTGAATGGTGTTGTCTTTAAACAAGTTTAATGTGTTACCTGAACAGTTACTAGAGAGACTATAGTCATTTTGACTATACATGTAATTGCATTTGTATCATTTGATAAAACTTTATAGGCACTGAGTTATCAATTAATGGTTAGAAAACAAGCATAAGCTACTGTAAATCACTTTTTATTTGTGAGAACTTTATTTTCGCATAATTATGCGACTTAATGCGAGACAGTGTGCTTGCGAAAATTTAATTCTCACGTATAATAGTATTTCTTAGGATTGATTATATAGAGCAATAACCACAATTCTTGAAAATTTGTCTCGCTAATCAAGAGTCAATAACTATCTCGCGAAAAATTAGTGATCTACAGTATTATAATTCTAGGTCAAAATGATATGAGTTCAATTTAAGTGGGTTTGATATTGTATTATTAATGTACCTGGTATTGTGAAACAAATTCTTAATCAAATGATGCATACAGCTGCTTCCTGTCTACTTACTTGTGGAGATATTTAACGATTTTCCTGTGTTTGTTTCTAGGAATGACAAAGGTGGAACAGGATGAGATCCTGAGATTATTTCGAGAAGGGAACCACAAGGTCATCATAGCCACCTCTGTAGCAGAGGAAGGGCTGGACATCCAGAAATGTAGCCTGGTGGTGCGATATGATCATGTGACCAATGAAATAGCCATGGTTCAATCAAGAGGTAATTATTTACATTTTACATGGAAATAAAGATGGAAATGTCTTTTTAGGTCACCTGAGTAAACTCAGGTGACCTATTGCTATCTGTTTTCGTCCGTCGTCGTCCGTCGTTCGTCGTGCGTCGTGTGTAACATTTAAACATTTTCAGCTTCTTCTCTGAAACTGCTGAACCAATTTCAACCAATTTTGACATATAGCATCTATGGGTGAAGGGGAACAAAAATTGTGAATTTTGTGGTCCCTGCCCCCCTGGGGCCTGTGGGGTGGGGCAAAAACCACTAAAATTAGTGCGATCTTTAAAAATCCTCTTCTTTACTCCCGGACATCAAGCAGTCAAACTGTTGGTATGATTGTAATCAGCATTGGGTCCTCTACCAAAATTGTGAAATTCATGGCCCCAGGGTCAGGGGTTCTGTTGTTAGGGCGGGGCTCTATTGATTATATAGTGAAAATGCATTAATTCTTTGAAAATCTTCTTCTCTAGTCCTGGGTATTAAATAAACTAATGAAGTACATAGTTATGATGAGCAAGAGTGTCTCTATATAAATTGTGAATTTTATGGCCCCAGGGTCAGGGGTTCTGGTGTTAGGGTGGGGCTCTATTGATTATATAGTGAAAATGCCTTTATTCTTTGAAAATCTTCTTCTCTGTTTCTGGGTATTAAATAAATTAACTAAGTACATAGTTATGATGAGCAAGAATGCCTCTTCCAAAAGTTGTGAATTTTATGGCCCCAGGGTCAGGGGTTATGGTGTTGGGGCGGGGCTCTATTGATTACATAGTGAAAATGCATTAATTCTTTGAAAATCTTCTTTTCTGCTTCTGGGTATTAAATAAACTAATTAAGTATATATTTATAATGAGCAAGAGTACCTCAACCAAATTAGTGAATTTCATAGTCCCTGTGTCAGGGGTTTTGCCATTTGGTGTAGGGGGGGGGGGGAGCTCTTTTGATTATAGAGTGAAAATACATTAAATCTTTGATAATCTTTTCCTTTGCTCCAGGGTATTATGTCACTGATCTAAGTGTATATATTTATGATGAAAAAAGGTGCACTTAGCAAATGGTTTATTTCATGCCCCCTGGGTCAGGGGTATCGGGGGGAGGGGGGGGAGGAGGGTGTATACATATTCATAAAATAAATTATTGCCTTGAAATCTGCTCTTTGGGGGGGGGGGGGGGGTTGTATACATATTCTGAAAATAAATTATTGCCTTGAAGTCTGCTCTTTGGTACTAATCGACCATTTATGATGAAATAAAATTTATGATAAAATTTCCAACATTTTGACATCTTGTGCCCCAGGGTCAGTGGTTCCTTTGGGGTGGGGTGCAGAAACAAAGTCAATCATTCGAAAGTTGTTACATGATACTCAGGTGACCTATAAGGCCGTGGGCCTCTTGTTTTAAAAAAAAATTGTTAAATATTTAAACTATATCAAAGCCAAGGTGACTTGGGAAAGTATTGTGGTCCATGGGCCTCTTTTTATGATTTTGAGGGAACGGAATTGGATATCACCAAGAACTTAGTCTTTAACAAACTTATTTTGTTTTCAATGTGAATATGGAAAAACAATCTTTAAATACATACAAATAAGCACTGTTATATTTGTACATGTACTATGGAAGTTTGTTATTTCATAATATTTTACTTTCATGTAAATTAGTTGAATCTGATTGGTCGAGAAACATTTGTTAAAAAACACTATTACCCACTGAATAATGAAGCCACGCCCTCCAGCGTAGCAACAGTCAACATTGCTTGACGACAGGAGATATTCCAAAAAATAGCGACTGCAAAGAATTTATGCATGCACGGTTCACTGTTATACGTATTTGTATAAACATTCAGTATACATGTAATATAATAAATATAGCATGTAGTTGAGTGTAACATTGAAAATTTTCACCCCTGGAAAACCATTGTCAACCTCTGCTGCACCTCAGTTGACAATGGTTTTCTTGGGGTGAAAATTTTCAATGTTACACCAAACTACATGCAATATTTATATAATGATATAAAGTGTATGTATATATGATCTGAATTTGTACAAAATAATTTCAGGCAGAGGAAGAGCTGAAGACAGTAAGTTTGTTATCCTGGCTTCAGAAGACACAAATACAATAAAAAAGGCCGAGCTGAATTTGATTAAAGAGTCCTGGATGAACAAAGCTATTGCTAGTGTCAGGGAGGAACTGAGTAGAGACAAGGATGCAGTCCTTAGGAGGGTAAGGGAAATCCAGCATGAAGCAAAGATAGCAAGGGACATAGCTCTCAAGAACAGGAAAGCAGCTCAGGCCAATTTAGGGGAGTTCAAGATCACGTGTAAATCATGTCGAAACTTCATCTGCATGTCAACCGATATAAAAAAGATTGAGAATGCTCATCATGCTGCTATCAATGAGGACATCTTGGAAAATGTGAATGTTATAGCGTCTATTCCAGATTATGAAGATGAAAATATGAGCTGTGGAGCTGGAAAAATATTTTGTAAAAAATGTGGAAATCCAATAGGGAACATCACAATCTATAAGAACGCCCAGTTCTGTATTCTGAAGTGCGAGTACTTGAATATGATTGACAGTGCTGGCAATGGGGTCTCCAAAAAGCGCTGGAAACAAGTCCCATTTTTTGTTCCTCCATTGACTCCTAATGACCTTGAGAAGAGAATTGAAGGAGAAAAATACATTGAATGTTAAAAGTGTTTACTTACCAACTTACTCTTAAGTTTCTAATGATTGAAAATGATAAATTATTATTATTGGATCCACAGAGTTAAAAAAATACTAATAAGAATTTATTGATAGAGTGTACATTTCACATTGTACAATCATGCATATATAATGTAATTACAATGTAATACAATATTCAACAGCAAATGTATATAAAATATAGGTACATGTACTTTGGAGCATCAATGTTAAAAAATGTTCCTTGTCCCAAATTTAAGCTTTAAAATTTGATTTTAAAATTATTGCACTTTAATTTGCTCCATGAACTAATTGAGGCACTCTTTTGAAGTGTAGGAGTTTTGTGTTGGAGGAAATATCTGTTAATATTTTAGTTATGATAATTTATGAATTTTTTTTCATCTGTTGTACACATTAGGCCAAAAAAAATTAATCAATAGTTTCTCAGGCCAAAAAAATCAAAATTCAATGCAGCAGGCAGGCTTTTTTTTTTTTTTTTTTTTTTTTTTTTAGCAGGATTTAAGTCTACACATTTTTTTGAAGTCATTTGTTCAATTAAATGATAATATCTACTAATTCTGAAGTTTTATTCTCTGAAATTAGTCATAATATGTATTAAACTTTAAATAATGTTATTCCAAACATTTATTTAAAAGTTAACTTAAAAAATACTGTAAATTTAGAAGAAAGATATTGTTTTTCTAATAAAAACGTCTTTCTTAGCATTTATAAAAAGGGCAATAACTCGATTTTCTTTTTTAATTTGGAAAAATAGAAAATTGAGTTACTTCCCTTTTCAATATGTCAACAAAATTTATCAATGCCGTTTTTGAACTGATGCGGCAGTGCCTGAGAAACTATTGATTAATTTTTTGGGGCCTTAATTGAAATATATGCATATATTTAAATAAAATATCTGTTTTGTTTTAATCATCAGCTCTATTTAAATGTATCAGTTATAGCTTCCACTTATTTTTTAAACTAAATACATGTAATAGTTTATGGCTAGAAATGTCAAATTTCGAGGTAGATCTTTTATGTTATATGTTTAAATTTCTAAGTTTTGTTATGTTCGCATCATCAATTAAACATATGCCTTGTACTTTGAATAGATGTATACAATTCATATTTAATGAAATTTTTCAATATAAAGCATATCTATAATTTATATTAAATATATTCAAACATAATTTATTCATGATATTGAAGTCATATACATGTAGTAGAATAATTGTGATATGAAGAAAAAGAGTATGTCATGTCTTCCTTAAAAGGGGAAGTTACATGTATATTGATTGAATTTGTTTTTCTTATCTGCAAATTATATTGGTATATGTAACTTGATTAAATGCAAATCTCTCATGTGATATTTTTTTTAGTCATTTTAGCATTTAAAATGCTCTCTGATTATGCCTGAAATTTCATAAAATGGTGTCATGAATCTCTCAAATACTTATTATTTATTCATATTTATCTCCTTTGTAACTCTCAGAGCTGCTGATGGTTGTTTAGTGTTGTGTTGTATATTGTGCTCCAAATGATAACTTGTATTTATATTTTGATTTTTATCTAATTAAGTGCGTTTGTCACTAAGCTCTGTTACTTTATCATGTAATTGCTATTATTTGTGCCAATGAACATCACTTGTTGAAAATAAATTTAAAAAAATAATTTTACTTGTATTTTCATAGATAGAATGTTCTATTGTTAAAATGATAAATATCCTACGGACCCGGTTTATACTAGTATTTTCATTGTAAAGATTTTCAAGAATATGGTGCTTGAATTAGGATAAATAAACTGGCATACAAATATTTCCTGATTTTAATTAATAGATTATTAACATTTAAGTATCATAGTAATTATAGATTTACGGAATGGTCAAGATTGTTGTTAATGAATTCAGTGTACTGAATGTCGTAGTTTTTCATATACATGTACTTTATAAGCAAAATACATGTGGAATGTAAATATTTAAGCATTGAATCATATTTTTTTTTTGAAAGATGTAGTCTTAAAACTGCTAAGGTGGGTGCTAATAAATTAAGTAACGCGATTTATGAAAATTTTTAAAATTGCTCACACTGTTGCATTTATGAGATTATTTCAAAAAATAGTGATTCAATGCTTCTATTTACATTTTTTTTTACTCGTTGCCTTGTCTGCAAGTGTGTTTCTTATTTCAAAACCCCTATATTATCCCTAATCCGCAATGGAAGAGCCTTTGCAATGGCTTCTGTTCAATGTAAGCGTGTTATTTTTTTCTTGTAACCTTTTGACGCCCTGTCCTTGTTACGGTGTTTTGCAGGCTTTAGATATTTGTTTAGTCCATAAGCAAAATACATTTAAAAAGTAGATGTAATATATTTATGACCAAAGATAATGACACAATAATTACGTCATTTTAAACGAAGAAATTATTTCAAACAAGAGTTTTAATGAAAGTTTAAGCGCATGCAGACAGTCAATGGTCGAAAGAATTCAGATCTATGGAAGAATAAAAAAAATCTTCTTCTATTTAATTCAGTTTTTATAATAATTTTCTTTTAAAATTTCCAAAAATTCCTCATTATGATGGCCCTTATTGATTGACATACTTTTTCAAGGAAATAACCTGATTTACTTTTATTTCCTTCTCCGCCCCCAGTCTCAAAATAAGTCAAACTTCCTGACTTCACACACAATACCCGCAAAAATATAATGAAGCATCCAGGTACACTTCTAAATTGGCTCAAACTCAACACTTGCATTTACATTATAATTTCTTGTCTCTTGCCCAAAGTACAAGCATTACTTATGGGCATGTGTATGTTGAGCACCTCTTGACCTACATGTATTCAATGGATTTATAAACTGAAAAACCTTCAGAAATATCGAACTCAAACGACGACAGGGATCATCTTCCTTTACTTCTTTCTCGACATCTTCTAGAGATGATTTAGAGGTCCCCGCTTGGTGAAGGTTTTAACAAAAAAAATCTTAACTTAGTAGTACAAATATATGGCATAGGAACTTTTAAATTGTACTTGTACTAATGAGTCTATTCGAATTTTTAGGGAGAATTAATGGTTTAAAGTTTTTAATTTGATACTGAGCGTTAACTACATGTATTGTAACTTAGTAAACTATAGTTTTCCTCAGAGAATTGTTACGTTCGAACAAATATCAAAGACAAAGCAGAATGAAAATCATTTTTAATGTAAATCTTAGCATACAAAATGCATATAAAATATATATATTTATTACAATTATGTTTATTTTTCATGCACTTTTTTGTTATTCTCTTAACGTTGTGCTCTTTATTTTCTTTATATATTGCATTTCAATTTTGTGTTCAAAGTGGCATATAGGGCCGATGGGCCGGGTGTTGATTGTTGTTTTATACAGTCTGTAAACAAACGAATTTAACTATGTACACATGTCACTATAAATAAATAAATTACTTACTTACTATTAAAAATTAATTCCATGCAAAAATATTTGTCAAATCAATACTCTTGTAATATATATACAATTTTCCACAGTGCGTTAAATAAACTACATTTTTTTCTTGATTCAAGGAATCACTGTCTAGTTAGTAGAGTATGCCAGGACATCAACAATAGTTGGAAACGTGGGATAATTTGCGTAACGATAGAAACCCATTTTGCATAAATTATATACCCCATGTTTCCAACTATTGTTGATGTTCCTGGCATACTCTACTAACTTAACAGTGATTCCGTATATTTCCATTTCATTGCGAAATTAAATTGTAAAATTAATTAAGATTTTAAAAATGAAGTGTAATAGATTTTAAATTACACAAGGCCTCTATCTTAGGTCTTTTAAGCTCGTGACCTTTCGCTTGGTGAAATTAACATTCCGGAAGAATGATCATGAAAAAAAACTGACAATTTAAAAAATGCTTTTACTTGCATTTTATAGATTTTCATGAATAAAAGAGTAATAATATAAAAGAGATTGAAGATATAAAACAGTGATCGATCTAAAAATTCAATACAAATTTATGAAGATGGCACTTAAACCGGGCCCCTTGGAAATTCCAGAGATGAGATGAGGTGCATAGGAGGAGAATCCATCCCCCATCGACCGATAACACCCCTATGAGACCTTTTGAAATAATTCATTAAAGAAGGGAACTTTCAAAGATTTTTTTAGAAAAATCTTTAACCTTGTTTACCACTAAAGCTTTAATATTATTCAGAAAGTTTATTAAAGTTACTAATTTTGACTATCATTGATCGCCCCCAAATATCAAATTATGTAAAAGAATAAAAAAAATTCAATTCAATTCTTTATTTCCTTATGCCAAATGGCACATCAGACAGATACATGTACATTGTATTATAAACAAGGTATACATATATTCAAATCTTTCAATTGTATAATAAATGTTTACATATACATGTATATAAATTATGTAAAAGAATAACTTTTATATTTATCCATTTATAATAATAATAATAATAATAATAATAGCATTTGTATAGCGCCCTATTTAAAATAATTTACTCTAAGGCGCTGAACAGACACTATTTCAGATATACAAGTAGTTAAATACAACACAATAATCATAAAAACATAAAACCTAAAATCATTCAAAGAGATCGTAACTAACATAAGAGTAAGCTAAAATTATAAGCTGCTAGACTAAGATCAAATTGAGATCACATTAAAAATTTCACACAATACAGGTTGTGCCCAAAATAAATAGTCTGAGGACAATAAAACTCGATAACTTGTTCAAAATAAAAAATTACACGTCGTATGCTATCTTAAAAAGATGAGTCTTAAGATCTCGTTTAAAAGCTAAAAGTGACGTCTGGAACCGGAGAGCATCCGGTAAACCATTCCACAAAGTTGCCGCTGCATGGTCAAAACGACGCGTTCCGTATGTCTCCGTGCGAACACGAGGTTTCACAAGTTGTTTGGAGTCATACGAGCGTAGAGTTCTTGACGGTTGATAGACTGTTACGAGTTCCTTTAGGTATGATGGTGATGTCCCCTGGAGTACTTTGAAAGTGTATAAAAGGATCTTATAATATGTTCTAAATTTAACTGGAAGCCAGTGAAGAGATATCAGAACTTCGGAGATATGCTCATGCTTCCTAGTTCGGGTGACAATCCTTGCTGCCGTATTTTGTACTCTCTGTAGCCGTGATATATTTGTCTCTGTAATTCCATAGAGTAGTGCATTCCATAATCAAGTCTTGATGTTACTAGAGCGACAAGTAGAGTCTTACAAGCATCTTCTGTTATGAATGGACGAATTCGACTGATATTTCGTAGGTGGTAAAAACAGGATTTGGACACTGCGCTAATCTCATTCTGAGTCTCCATGGTAAGTGATTTGTTGTTTGATCGCTCAAACATGAGGTCTCTTGTTTTTTACCTGAAATACGAGCAGTTATTGTGAACTTTGACCTGTCGAGCTCTTGACTCCACAATGAGATTCGGAAACAAGTGATTGAGGAAGATATTTATACATTGTTTACAACAATTCAATTTTAATCAGTCGACAAATCATGACGTCCAAAATTTCCCTTCAATCACATCCAGAGATAAAAGAGATATACTCTACAACCTTCAGAAATAAAAACAAACTCAAATCTCCTGAGCAGCTTCTTCACAAACGACGACGGAGCTCATCTTCATCTACATCTTCCTCGTCGACATCATCTAGCAGTTCTAAGGTAAGATGGCTAAATTACATGTACTTCATATTGAGATCGCAGTAGTGAGGTTTAAGCAATGCACGTAGCAATATAACAAGTGTTTTCAGGTACAAAAATATTCATTGTTGAGAATATTGAAACTTAATTTCATTATCAGAATAAAAATATGCTCCACTGAGGTGGGAAAGGGGCGGGGCTGGAGGGTTCAATTGTAAAGAGCGAGTTTATTTCTTTAGATTAAACTCATGTTTAAAACTTCAGCTGCAATGCCAAAAACTTTAATCGATGTTTCAATTTTTTCATGATTTATATTTAAAGAAAAAAGCACAATAACTACAGTATGTGAAAAATAAATTATTTACACAATACAGTAACTTTATTTTCCAAGACAAAACTAAATAAAGTATTAGTTTTACGTCACAGCATATCAAGGAAAACAATTTAATCCTGCATTTCTAATATATAGTTATTACTCAATTAACTTCTTGACATTCTATCTCTTTCAAAAAGTATATACATGTAATTTCATTGCACTTCCAAATACATATGGATAAAAATAAGAAAAAAATATGCAGAAATGATCCATTCCAGTTTTGAAGAAAATTCCTGCCTCTTTGTGTATATATCAAAATTATTTTGTTTCAAGGAGGCACTTTTTCAGAACAATGGGGATTCCCTATTCAAAAAACGGAAAATCCGATATATTTTGCCGTGATACTAATTTTTCCATCATTTAATGGCAAATTGGAAGTCAATAGGCAGCTTCCAAATATTGTTTCTCGTTGTGCTTTATATATTGATGCATTTGAAAAAAAAAATATATGAGTTTCTGCAACATAAAAATTCTTCTTTTAATCTGCTACACATTTAGAAAACATAACAAAAGAACTGCAACACCCTTTTTTCGAGGTTTGTGGGAAAAATATTGGTCTGTTGGGATTTGAATTCGTGGTTAGAAAATGTTTAGTAGTAATGTATATAAAATTTTACATTTCTTGATGGTCATAAATCCGTGGGTCTCTCCATACCTCGAAAACAACGAAAATTAAACCACAATGAAAATTAGTGATTTCACAGTATTATAAACATGTTTTCCTCTATCAAGTTACAAATTCCCCACTTATAGTTTATTGTCACCGACGTTTCCTTCAGTGATTCATGTGATGACACGTACTGTTCTAAACATATAAGACACCATCTGAATGATTTACACTACAATATTCGCTATAGTAATATTCATCGTTGTCACCTGTATCCTCTTTATAAATTAATGCAATTAATTGTACGTCTGTGTTTTTACAACAGCTAGGAATAAAAAGCAAAGTCGGTGTATATGTATGTCCATGTCATGTCTGGAAATTTTAGCGAACATACTTGTCCAAAAGTTCGTTTTACCTTTTAATGAATTCTTTGACTGTTAGACACGTTATTTTAGGTAAAACCAAAAATTCATTACAAACCCCGGAATCTTTGGAAAAATATGTTCATTTAAATTCATCTCTTGAAAAAAGATGTGCAGGAATAGTGAAGAAAAAAATAATGGTAATCATGGAGTCTGTTTTCAAAAAAAAATCATACTTTAAAGTATGTTAAAAAAAAAGGTGCGGTCAACTCGAACAAAAAAAAATGATGAATTGAAAATAATCATTTTTTTTCATTTCCTATAATTACTGAAATGGACCTGTATTCCCAATTTCGCTTAATCAAGGAAGGTTTTATTTTTAATAGAGTTCATTATCTGAAGGAGATTATGCGGACAGTTCCATTCAATTTTGTGAATTGTGTTCCATTGATAGAACCTTGCTTACTATAGTAAGCATTCCTACTCCACGGAAACATCGAGGAGAATATTATCATGTAGTCAGCAATGTGACAGAGGAAACTATTGATATAGAGTGAGTGCAAATTCTTATCAAAATTGATTTTGATTCCATTTTAGCACTTATATAGTTATTTCCTAGATAGTACACGTGCGCCAACAATTCTGCGTCAATTAAAACGACAAAAATTTAATCTAGTAAACATGCAATTATAAGTGAACGCAGGAAATATAGTCAATGAATGTTTTTAAGTTTTGTGTGAGTTATTGGTGTGCGAATCACACAGACTTGTCACGTAGGCATATTTCATGAAATGCGAATATGTACTTCGAAGATGGCTAAATCATTGTATTGACCAGCAATAATTGTTTTATTATATGATTCACTGATAAAATGATACAGCTCATTATAACTTGTTTGCATTTTATTAAGTCCTAGCCAAATACAAGAGAGAAGGAGAGTTAACATGTGAATAAACCTTACCAGTCGTATCAATTTGAAATGTTTTTTTTTGTTTGTTTTTTTTTTATCAATTTTAGTTGCCATGATAAAATATATAATGTTAGTCTTTTTTATAGGATAGATTTTGAAAGGATTAGGAGTATTATCAGAGGACACTAACTGCCAAAAAGTAAAAAAAAAAAATGTTGTTCAGTAAAAGTGTTGGAGGGGGGTCCCTACATCCCCTCTTACCACTCTCACCCTAAAATATAATATATAAATTCGCTTATGTTTTGTTCACATGAAAAAAAAATCATAGTCGTTTAAATAGCTTTCCAAAATTTGTATCAATTTGGAATTTCCCAATCTGTTTTTAGATCAATGTAGAGGGAGTAAATCCTTGTATTGACCTGGAACGTCACGTGCAGGTCAATACAACATACATGTATTTTCTAACATAGTTGGATCTCAGCCAATCAGAGAGATGGAAATTATTCAATCATATAATGTTAATTATTTCCATTATTTCATCACCATGCATGTTGCACTTATTTGTTTTCCAACACTTTATATTTTTTTTTTTAAATTTCAGAAAGTATGATAGAATCATTCGAGTAAACAGCAACGATGTTAAGAACATTGATCCTGTCGAATTCAGAGATATCCTTCAAACGGAGCTGACCAGCTCGAAGTGTTTCAAATTTAGGAAGAGGACATCAATGGTAGTGTATACTTTCTTTTACACCAGATGTGGGATCAGGTGTCGTGGAAGAGTAAGCATCCCCTGTTGAGCGGTCACATTAACCAACAACTCTTTGTTTTGAAAAAGCAGAGAAGTCTAATTTTGTATTCAAAAAAGACCTGCCTAGCAAGTGGCATAAATCCTGCGATTCTAAATATGATTAAACAATAGGATGTATACTTACTAAGGGTAATTGAAATCATTACAACGAAGAAATTACCAAATGCTTTAAACTAAATTGTTAAGTCTCATCACATCAACTTAGCCTGATTTTGGTTTAAGAATTAATCATTATCAATATTTTTTTCATAAAAGAGAAAGTCTGAAAGATTTTATTTGAATTAAATATAAATCACCCATAACTGTAAGGACTTGTGAAGGATAAATAGATAAAACTTATGATTTTTATTTGTTTATAAATATATTTTTTTAAATTATTAGTCTTCTTTCTTATTTAAAAAATCATTCACTTTAGACTTTATGGCGCTGGAGTGGACAGGATATATCAGAGATTTGCGTACAGTTTAGCTTTGAGACAAAGAAACAAGTTTCAATATCGACAATTTCTTCTCAGCCAACCAGAGAGCATGGTAAATTAAAAAAGCAAAGATCAGCCGTTAAGAAATTAATTAAAGTGGAAGCCAAAACAGGCACTTTTGTGCGATTTCAACCAGACACAGGGACCTTGATAGGTGCAACGATAAACAAGGACGACTTTAGGTTTTGTAAGTTTCCCTTCTACTGCAACCATGATTCTAAAGGGCAGAGGACAACATTGTTTTGTCACCTAACTTTAGGCCACTTTTCAAAAAATCGTTTTTGAATCATTTTTTATATATGTTATACAATTCATTGTTACAAGAATTGGAACTTTTAATGGATCATTCGTTTAATAACAACCCTCCTTTACACTGAATATTCAGAAAAATTGCAAATTTGAAACATGTTGCATTATGCATGAAAATGACGTTGATTAAACCTGCTCTAAAGTGAAAAAAAGGATAGCTAAAATTCGTTATAAAACAGTTTATCTTCAGTAATAAATTTTCTTTTTAAAAATTTGCTCTTTAAATATAAAAGTATATCAAATCAACTGAAGTATTTTCATAATTAACATTTCCTATCAATTTTAACATGAATACAGAAAGAACAATTAAATGCACGGAGCTCATTTGTTTACTTACAGGTCCAAATTCATTTTCATTGTAGACTTGTTCAACTTCCAGTTTTACTCCTGTACAGTGCTGTGGTCTAAACAAACAGTTACACGAGAAGTGTGCACCATAAGTTGTCAAGCAGACGATCAAGCTTATGACGTTGTAGGGGACTTCGACACCAAAGAGCTTATTTTAAGGGTAACATTAATTTTGCATTACTTTTATTTTTCAGCTCGATATACCTTAATATATGATGGTCTGCATAAAAACGCGTCACTCTAAGACTTCAATTGGTGTCTCTAAGATAATCTTCGGGAATATTAAACATACATGTACTCAGTACACCATAACCTTCAGATTCTAAGTTCATAAAAAAACATCGAGGGAATGTAAAATCTTTGTTAGAGAAATATTTGAAGATGCCTTTTTCAATCCCATGTACGTGTTATTTCAAAATAATCTGTCTCCACCTGTAAAACATGTTATGTAGGCAGAAATTACTATTAGTATTCAAAAACATGAGAAAAAACTTGCTGTGGCCTTCAACTCGACATTAAAATTTAACTATTGATCTTGAATACTGTTCATTATCTCCATATGTTTCATTGACGACGCATTATTAATTAACAGTAGTTACTAAGATCCATATGCCAAATTGAGTTCCATTCATATATGCCAGCAAACTTTAAATAAAAGACATCACAGATGCTGACATTTCTGTTTCATTGTTACATGTAGGTATTTCTCTAGAAAAAAGACGTTTATGGTCACCTAGCAACAAAACTTGGGGGGGGGGGGATATTGACTTTTTAGTAGTGCCATTATGTATAGAGCAATATAAATCTATGACCTCCCTTTGGGGTTCATGTCTCCGATAATTCGATTGGCATGCTCTAAGTCCAATCATTTTTTTGCGCGACAAATACCAACACAAGTTGATGACATTCTCGTTTGGAGTCATCAGGTTAAATGCAAACTGACATTTTTATACAAAGTGTTGGGTCATTATTTACATACTAAATTTTTTACGGATTTTTTTTTCTTTTAACCGATCATCACAAGGAGCACATGGCAGGTGAAACCGGTTTACAGGGGATATTTACCCCTCCATAGCACTTGATCCCAGCATTTTGGGGGTCTGTGTTTGCTTTGATCCTGAGTTTTGTTATTTAAATAACCTTTGAGCACTGTTCATCTTCATATTTCATTCAATTTTTCTTTGCTTTTTATAATTGAAATTGTACTGAATAAATCAGATTGCATTAATCTGTTAATTGAAGAACACCGCCATACCATGATAAGCCTTCTATATACTGTATTTATTGATCACGAAGAGATCGGAAGCCCATTTAGGACTTATCGAAAATATTTTTGAATCCGATATAACGAATTGTCGAATTTGTTATAACGAATTTAATTCGTTATAACAATATCTTTGAATTCGTTATAATGAATGTAAACAGTTATAACAAATTTGTTGATTTTGTTATACATGTAACGAATTCAAAATATTGTTTAAACAAATTAAACTCGTTTTAACAGATTCTAATACTTGTCATAACGAATTGAATTCGTTTAAACGAATTCCATAATTTGTTATAACGAACTAAATTGGTTAAAACGAATTCGACAAATCGTTATGTCGAATTCATATACATTTTTCTATAGGCGCTGATTATTGAATTTGATTAAACGAATTTAATTCGTTATAACAAACTTTGGAATTTGTTTAAACGAATTTAATTTGTTATAACAAACTTAAGAATTTGTTTTAACGAATTTAATTTGTTAAAACAAATTTTTGAATTCGTTTTAACGAATTTAATTCGTTATAACAAATTAAAGAATTCGTTATAATAAATTCAACAAATTTGTTATAACAGTTTAAAATCGTTATAACAAATTCAAAGAAATTTTTATAATGAATGAAATTCGTTAAACCAAATTCAAAAAATTCGTTATATCAAATTTCAAAAATATTTTTAAAGGTCCTAAATGGGCTTACGGAAGCCCATTGAGGACCTATGAAAAAATATTTTTGAATTCGTTATAACGATTTTTAGAAAATTCTTGAATTGGTTATTACGAATTCAACAAATCTGTAATAACAGATTAAATTCGTTATAACGAATTCAATAAATCTGTAACAACAAATTAAATTCGTTGTAACGAATTCAAAAAATCTGTTATAACAAATTAAATTCATTATAACGAATTTACGGAAGCCCATTTAGCACCTATCAAAAAATATTTTTGAATTCGTTATAACGATTTTCAGAATTCGTTATGACGAATTTAATTTGATATAACAGATTTTTAGAATTCGTTATAACGAATTTTTAATTTGTTAAAACAGATTTATTGAATTCGTTATAATGAATTTAATTTGTTTTAACAGATTCATTGAATTCGTTATAACGAATTTAATTTGTTATTACAGATTTATTGAATTCGTTATAACTAATTTAATGTGTTATTACAGATTTATTGAATTCGTTATAACGAATTTAATCTGTTATTAGATTTGTTGAATTCGTTATAACCAAATTCTTGTATTGGTTATAACTAATTCAACAAATCTGTAATAACAGATTAAATTCGTTATAACGAATTCAAAAACATTTTTTGATAAGTCCTAAATGGGCTTCCGTAGGAGATTGACATCGCCTTACAATACGCTTCAATTTTTTGCTATAACAAATAAAATTACGGAAGCCCATTTAGGACCTATCAAAAAATATTTTTGAATTCGTTATAACGATTTTTAGAATTCGTTATAACAAAAATATTTCTTGATAGGTCCTAAATGGGCTTCCGTACAATTTGTTAAATTTGTTTTAACTAATTTAATTCGTTATAACAAATTAAAGAATTCGTTGAAACGAATTCAATTTGTTATAACAAGTTTTAGCATACCATATGATGACGGACGAACACAGCAATAAAAATGAACATTTCTATAGCAACAATATTACATTGTTCTATTTAATTTGAGATTTTGGACCTACATTTTAGTGACACATCATCTCTCAGAGATGCACAAACTGACAAAGTTTAACGATTCTGTGATTTATAGTGTATCAAACATTTAGAGTCAGACAGATGGACAGATGGACATGAACACCATACTGTAAAGGTCCCATAATATGGACACGTAAAAATCCAATTATTTTAGCTCAGATAATTAACACGGAAATCTAATCTATTTCAGCCTCAACAGCCCATTTCAATAGAACACCCGGACGAGAGATTTTTCATTTACTACGAGATTGGTGAGACAGGGGACAAAGTGTTCGAGCTTCTTTTGTACCCAAGTATGCTCCTGAAATAACATATTAAGGACATACGTAACTTACCTTACCTACTGATAATTTTTCAAGATATTCTTAATTCAAGATTATAGTGTCATCAGATGTTCATAGACAAAAAGTCAGCATGCATTACTAGGGGTTTTTGAAAGATAAAAAATTGATGAAAATTTTTGAATGTTTCAAAGAAAAATATATAAAAAATAATAAACATATATTCTAATTGTTTCATTAATCCAAAATTGTTTTTGATTATGTGTACAATACCATACGTTGAAATTAAAATATAACACACAGTTCCTCCAAGAATTAGAACTCTTCAGCTCCATGGAAAAAGACAGAAAAGTTCAAACTACATTGCGTATGACCTTAAGGACATATGATACAAACAAAAAATTGTATGCCTGGATTGGTATATATTTCTTGGCCTATTTTTGTTGCAAATAATGCAAATAATAAATTTTCAAAATATTAAGAAATTAAAAAAAGCAGCTAAACTTGTTCATTTTACTTATTGAAACATGACTCAGGTTATTTTCTATTTTTATGACAACAGTTTGTTTGTATCATCTGTCCCTAATACATACATAAAAATAACGAGTTACATACTTGTTCATTAATCAGCTGAGCTACAAAAAATGTTTTTGTTGATTTTTGTATTTCAGATCAATGTATCAAATACAGCAGTGCTAAACAATGTCTTGAACTGGAAGAATTAGGAATGTCAAAATCAAAGTCCAAGAGATCATTCATTAATCCAAAGACTCAATTTCAGTTTGAGCCACAAACCTCTCTGGATCAAACTGAAGTTAGGAAGTATGTCAAGTCTCACAAATATGGTCTTTGCTGCTTTAGTTCAACAGAGGAAAACAATCAGGGGCCATATCTGGATGGTATAAAGCCATGTAATGAGTTCAAATTGAAAAGTGAAGAGGATGTAAAAACTGAATTATCAATAGAGTCTGGAAATGGGGATGAAATAGATGCATGCATATCAATTACATCTTTGACGAGAGATATCTAAGACTTCATATTCTTTTTTCTAATTTGCCTCTGAATACCATGACTGTGTCTTTTTACATTACAATTACATGGAATCAAAGTAACAAGTAAGAAAGATCAAATTGTTTATTAAATGCTCCAATATTATGTTTTAACATTCATCCTATAACACAAACATTAAACAAATCAATAAATAAATTTACTTTCATTCATAAATTTCTACAAAGTAATTATGAATTAACACATTCTTTATAAACATTCTTTTTTTCATAGAAAATACATAACAACTACATAATCAGTTTTTAATAATTTTTTGAGATCAAAATATGGTCAACATATACTTTCACACAAAACAAGTTCTTAAACTCACTTTATTAATTATTAAACAGCAATGAAACCACCACTTACTTTTTTTTTCGTATTCAAAAACATTTTTACTGTTTATAAAAATCTTTGACTAAATCAATGACTGGGACCCTTTCCTTGTTAATTAACTGTGATTCTAGCCCCTGCCTTTTGTTTGACCTTTCACCTCACAGCCTGGGCCATATGAAGAGGGTTTAACATCAACTTGAGCGCAGCCCCCTTCAAATTGGCCCCTCTCAGGTTTGCCTCTTGTAGGTCACAACCAGACATATCACAGTTCTGTAAAAATTAAGTTAAATAATAAACTAACAGTACAGGTTTTAAAATGTAATACAAGGAATGAATGAATTTACAATGATACTTGAACATACAGTATACTTTTAACCATTTCTTTCACAAAATCAATCCATTATTCTCTGTGGTCTTATCTATTAACTTAATTACCTAGTTGTTAAATTTTTTTCCACTTGTCTATGTCTTATTCATACATAATTCACATTAAGAAGTTTAAAAAGTCTTATTCCCCCAAGTTAAAGTTTCGGAGACGATTTTAAAAAATCCACATATTTGATATTCAAAAAACTTTTTTCTTTCAATAGTTAAAACTTTTTCTCCATCTTCATCAATATAGAGAGTCCAGCTCTCATTCATGTAAATCTCTGTTTATACCATTTCTTTATCAAAAGAGTCACTGATCAAATGTTTCTACCAACTGAGTTATATCAAAAATCTGAACTTTAATAAAAACCAGTCTTTCTACAATTATCAACTATTAATTCTGAGATATAAACTTCTCATTGTCCAATTTGTTGTGTTCAAAATAGACTGTTAAATGTACCACAGAGACTTAAAAGTACATATGTAATACTGTTTATTTTAAAACATTTAAAGGAAATTAAAACCAAAATAGTTACACAATTATACACATTTTAAACCTCACAGTAAGACAGTGAAAACCCCTAATAACTGACAGTCAAGAGTGTATCAACTCTAATACTCTGGTGATATCACACATTTTCACTCTATAGTTCCAGAAACAATCACTTATTTCTATGTGTACCTCTAGATCCGTCCCCGCTAATACTGCTCCCCTGAGATCATGTTCTGTAAGTTTACTTGTATATATACATACATCCTATCCGCCCCCGCTAATACTGCTCCCGAGATCACGTTCTGTAAGTTTACTTATATATGAACATACATCCGTACCTCTAGATCCACCCCAGCTAATATTGCTCCCCTGAGATCACAGTTCTGTAAGTTTACTTGTATATATACATATATCCATACCTCTAGATTGACCCCAGATAATACTGCTCCCCTGAGATCACATTCTGTAAGTTTACTTGTATATACAGTGGACCCTCAGATATCCGGACGCCAGATATCCGGATGCTTCAGTATCCGGACGATTTTTCATCGGAACGGAATTTTTTAATCTTATTTTGTCTTGTTTAACTGGTGATTCAGGTATCCAGACGCTTCACATATCCAGACAAATTAACTGGGAACCAAAGCATTCAGATAAATGAGGCTCCTTTGTATACATACATACGTACCTCTAGATTCGCCCCCGCTAATACTGCTTCCCTGAGATCACGTTCTGTAAGTTTACTTGTATATGTACATACATCCTTTCCTCTAGATCCGCCCCAGCTAATACTGCTACCCTGAGATCACGTTCTGTAATTTTACTTATATATGTATACATACATCCATACCTCTAGATCTGCCCCTGCTAAAACTGCTCCCCTGAGATCACAGTTCTGTAAGTTGGCATTCTTTAATGTTGCCACTCGCAGATTCACACCTGCCATGTGACTTCCCTCCAAATTCACACTTTTCATAAGGGCACCTGCTCAAAAAAGTAACATCCACTAAAAAAATTTATTTGGGAGTACTTCATTTCTGTGTAATTAGGCAAGACAGTCTGTTCATGAAAATTTCATTCTCTTGTATATTAGTACATGTATCTCCAAAGATTACATAGGGCAATAATCTAAATTAATGAAAATTTTGTTTCGCTAATAAAGAGTCAATGAATGTCTTGTGAAATAAAAGTGTCACCAAAATTTAGTGATCTACAGTAGTATTCTTCAAAAGTAAGTACATTTGTACCATGTAATATTTTATAACCTGACTAAAAAGCGTAATAAAAAAAAATTAATTGTTGCCAATCATTTTTGGGCTAAAACAGGTAAATAATTTACCCTCCATGTTAGCTCGACTTCCTGCAGGATCCTCAAAGTTGCATCCCTTTAATGAAGTGCCTTCCATATTTGCACACAGCATTTTCACTCCCAGCAAATTAGCAGACTGTTAAAATACAAACAAAATAAGCTAAGTATTATTTTATTCTATCAAAGAAAATTTATAAAGTTTTTCACTTAATTTCATATACATGTAAAACCATAATGTGTCACACTTACAAGTATACTGTACATACATGTACATACAAAGGTTTTTTTATTTACTATTAAAGAAAATAACAAAACAGCAACAATAAAGAGTTGCAATAAGGGTTGGAAACCACTTCCCCTTTATTTACTGGTAAAAAAAATTACCAGTAAAATACTGCTTCATTTATTACTAGAGTCAATATTCATATTTACATTGAAATCCTCAATTTGATATTTTTTCATAAAATTGAATTGAGTAAAAATAAATGGTTGCTAATTTCTTTCAATTTACAATTTTCAGTAATTTATTAATTTTTTCACAAATACTGCGTAAGTGGAAATTTTAGCGAGACGCAAATTTCGTGATTGTCCTAAAAAACTGGTATTTTATTTTTAGCAAGAAGTAATTTTAGCGATAAATGCTCAATAAAGAAGCTATTACATATAAAATGAAGTAAATATTTAGCAATATTTAATTTTAGCGATCTTACTGTTCTCGCTAATAATGCCAAAATTAAATCCTCACTAAAAATTCTGCTTATACGGTATTTCCTTATTGAATCAAGTGTTTAATTGCTATAAATAAAACCAGCCACTTTCTGTTCTTAGTGTAGCTTATTGTGGACAGTTACCGTGGCAACAGCATGACATACAGTGTGTTTTATGTCAAACTTATTAAACTTTCAATCAACGCTAATTGCGCATTTTAAATCATTTTTTATTATATTAATTCATCTTTTTAGTTATCTTAATCTGTTTCTGATTTTTTATCAGACAGCTTAAAGAAACAAATTAATTTATTTTAAAGATACGATGTATTAAATTGGATACAATAAAACCACATTTTTTCTATCAAATAAATTGATAGATTTCAGTTTCATTAAATATGTTTCATCATTTCCAAAATACAGGTATTGTATGATAAAAGTGTTTTATCCTAGAGGATATTCAAGCCTAGTAGCGATATTTTGGCAGAAAGAACAAGGTAGCACATGAATCTAACATTGTTCATACATAGAAGTTGAAGAGTAGTTTAAAACAGATACATGTATTACATGTACTTACATCAAGAACGGCATGACACAAATCAGCCCTCTCAAAGTTACAGTATGATAAGTTTGCTCCACTCAGATTGGCATTCTTGAGAACAGCATACTTAAAGTTGATATACCTCAAGTCCAGTTTGGAAAGGTTTGCATTTGTAAAATTCATACCCTGAATTAAGAAAAAAATATAGTGTTTTTTTTTCTATTCAATTTTATAGCCTACTATGTTTTATCATCAGAAATTTAGACAATTGATTTTCAATTTTAAAAAAATTACTTCAATATTCTATATTCTAACAAATGTGTACACGTCTTTAAATTATACTTTATATGAAAAAAATTATCAAGTTATACATTTTCCCCCTTTGATCAAAACATTACACTTTCATTGGTTTAAAAATGACCCATGACTTTCAGCTACAGTATATTTCTGTGTCCAGAAGGTTAAAATTAATATTATATTGATATAATATAAAATCATCTTGACATAAGAAATCATTCAATTATACTGTAAATGTCAAAATTTATCTCTGTGAAAAAAAAAATCACTTCTTAGGTTTGTTTGTGAACTTTTTACAAAAACATAATGGTCTACTGAATCTCGTGTAATGAATTGAATGGAGAAGTTTACCTGAAATCGGAGCTCCTTATTGGTATATATGAATTGAATGGAGAAGTTTACCTGACATCAGAGCTCCTTATTGGTATATATGAATTGAATGGAGAAGTTTACCTGACATCGGAGCTCCTTATTGGTGGGGGTAGATAACAGTCGCAGAACAAATTCTCTCCTTGTGATGGGGGTGCTATCATCTGGGACTTGGTTTTTCTGATATAATTACAAAATATAAATATGGTGCAAGTCTGCAGTGATAACATGTGACAAATTTTTTTTTAGTATTACCATGTAACCCCCACCTCCAAAGAAATGATATCACAGTTTATACTCAAGAGTATAAACCTCATATGATATTATCCTTCCTAGAAACATATGTAGAAAGTTAGAAACAAAAATACATTAAACTTAATGTCCTTCAGTCCATAAGGATTTTATATTTTTCATTTTAACACTATACCTCTATCACATCTTCCAAATTTTCCATCAAAGAAGTCAGACCAAAAAACTTTGCTTCTTCTAGGACACCTTAAAAGAAAAGAACTATATGCGGTATATTGCATATATTTGCCCCCACAAAAGTCAAATTTTGAAACCTTCCTGAAATGTGCTGAATTCAATAAATTGTATGAGAAATATAAATTAATAGAAAATATTATAGTGTCAAAGCAGTGTATTCACAATATTTGTTTTTCTGACGTCACAAACTACTCCAATTTTATATCCTTTTTCAGAAAGAGGACAAAATGGACAAAATTTTAACAATTTTAGCTTTAAAATTTATAGAGCGCAACTCTGTTCAGGAACAATATTGACATATTTCATTGATATTATCATTCTACACATTATATCAAAATATTGATCCTGAACACACATGCGCTCGGTGACTTTTACTCAAAATATCGACGAAATATGTACATTTTTCTGTATAATTCATAAAAAACTGAAATTTACGTCATGTTTGTGACATCATTACGTACATATGGCGTCATTACTTATGAAAATATTCAGTGCTTTGAAGTCAGCATATACTCCCCTGTTTAAGAACTTAATTAAATATATCTCCATCAAAGTTTGATTTGGGGGGCAAATATTGGTTATTACCGAATAAAGTTCTTTTGTAGATTTTTCAGAGTATTCATGATGAATTATTTTTTGTGGGATATGGACTCAGTAACACAATGATGTCTTTATGTCACACTGTATACTTTAAAATTTGCCCGTCTTAATAAACTCATATTTTGACAATGAATAAAATTAAAGCAAATCTCTTTTTTTTTCTTAAAAATTTAAAAATCGTAATAAAGTATCTTCATCAATTTCCCCATTCGTGATACCTTCTGGATTGATGTCCTTATCAAGGATAAGTTGGCCATGCCGGAGGTAGTTTAGGATTGGTTCAAAATATCGGGGACTTCTGTCAATTAAATATGCTCCAGTAACATCCACACTGCTGTACCATTCTATATAAAGGTAAAAAAATAAAGGAGAGATTTTCTGTTTTGATAAATACTTTAAAATGATATAATAACTTCTCTATCAAAGAAGCAACTGCTACTTGGAAAATGTTTTTAATCGTTAATACCGGTATGTAGTAAAGAGTATCCCAAAATTCAGGTTTTAAACAATCGCTTTTAATCAATCTTGAGTGAGTTTTAACTTATTTTTTCTCAATCTGTGAATTAATACATGTATAATCAATATTCATGTTGTGTACAAAAGCAAATCTTTGGATATTGACAAATGTTTCAAAATAAGAAGAAGAAAAGGTTTATCTCTTTTAAGAATGTATTAAATTAATTTTTAAAGTTTAAAAATTAAAATTTGACTCACGGTCTTCATCACAAAACATCCTAGCCAGCATACTTTCTGGTTCTTGTTGTGTGAGAGTGCTCCTGTTATAAAAAGAGAATCATTAATATGTTCCTGAAAATACATGTACTGGCAAAAAAAGTAATAAAATCTAAAAAATTAATGAACAGACTAGAATGGACTATTTTTATATAGGTAGGCATGGTTAGTTTGAAATTTTTTGTAAACTTGACGTATTTTGGATTACCTTGTTGTGGTAAACATTCTGCCACCCACATTAAGAGTCACCCATTCTGAGCTGCTACACGTACACTTATTTGTTGTCCCATCATTAGTGAGACGCGAGTGTCGCTTACAATCATTTCTAGGGCTAATGGAGGAAAATGACCGTGGACGAAACACAACTCCTGACTTGGACGGACCTGGTGAAGACATGAAATAAAAAGTTAGCTTTAGATTATTCATTCTCATCTTTGCTAGCCAAGTGTCTTTTTTGTATCTCCTAATTTCCCCTTAACTGAATTATTTATGCCTCCAAGCTCGTGATTTCAAAGCATCCAATGAAATTGTCTTACCAAATACAGGTTAGAACTTTTTCTTTCCTTGGTGAACTCATTTTTCTTTTTGTAAAGTACCTGTACATGCTCTTGTCACTAAGAATGATACATGTAACTCAATTAATTCACGAGACAGCAAAAATACACATACTAAATCTGCCTAAGGGGGAGGTGAGGGGATTCAAATTGGTCACTTGGCTAAGAAAAGGTGAATCATTCTTGATAAAAATACTTTCATTGTTCACAGGTTATATTTAGTGTAAGATTATAATTGTGTTTGAGTGTTTGTAAATATGTTTTAAGTATCTTTGTACATAAAGATGAATGTAAGAAAAAAAAACACTTACTAATAAAAGGTTTTCCATCTGAGACATAATACACATCATCATCTCTAGTGAAAAAAAAAATTAATTGATAAAAGCAATTTTCAAAAGCAAAACAGGTATATTCTCTAGTAATGTTTGTCTATAGTTAATTCTTAAAGTAATTATCATTTTGTTGATTTATGATCAAGGACTTGAGACTGTATACCCGATTTTGCTAGGATTGTCTCAAGTCCCTGTGTTAAAAATGATCTCAATATTTGACATGTTGTAAAGAATATCCAAAAATATATTTAACTTATTACACACATTTTTCAATCCTTGTGTTCTTTGTTTAAATTATAACAAAAACATCCCACAAAATTACCTGACAAAAGCGATGTCGTCTAGCACTGCCCCCTGTGCTGTGTACAATATTTTACAATCACAATCAAATTTCTGACCACAGTCTTCTAAAAGTTCTTTAAATGTTTGAGTTGGTGGCACAAGCAGCAACTGTCAGAATAAAAAAATCAAATTCGAATTTTGTTAAATTATATCAATTTTAAATTGCTTTCAAAACATAATCAGATAATGTCAAATCTCAATCAGCTGTCAATAATCAATCTCCAGAATTTCTGAAGCATATTTTTTACAGATGGTCTCGTTCTCAGCTTGCCTTACCTTCCCATCTGCTGGTATGCCATTCTGAAATACTGTAATTCTCTTCATGATGGCTTTGACTGCAAAAATGAACTTATAGGATGCATTTTAAAAATTACATCAACAACGACAAAAATAGATCAAAGCAAATTATTCTATTTTTGGCTTTTGTCGCTTATGTATCGTAAAAAAGAAATAGAGAAGTCGTTCCTATAATATTCGTAGCTTCAGGGGAGGCTCTATGCACAGCTTTATGCTTGGTGCGCAAAGTTAGAAGGTTGACCCTTGTCCTCCTCAATGTCGATATAGGACAATTGATTGAATAAATGAAAGGGTTTTCCTAGGAAAAAAGGCGAAATATTATGAGTTCTGATTTTATATTTTCAGTATATTATAGGCCTAGTATATAATAGGCCTATCATTTCATTCTTGCTCATTTCTAATCAGTATAAAGTAACCGAAAACAGAATTTTGGCAGTTTGTTTACATAATTTTATTTTTAAAAAAAATTAAAGTATTATCATGAGTGCTGTAGTGATTTCTTGTGTAAAAAAGGAATGAATTTTTAAGGATTTTTTTCCCCGCTGTTTGAGGGAGCTTTAATTTTTATGAATACAAAACTAATTGAACCTATACTAACATGTAGGTATAACTGAATATTGTTAAACGTGTACATATCTACAAATTCTTTGTGGATTTGTTTCAATTGTACCTATCTTCAAATGAATTGTACTCATCTTCAAATGAATTAAAGATAGCTATAATTCAATTGAACTATATCTTTAATTGAAAAGTATTTAGAAGAAAAAGGGAACTAGCGACTAGAGACATTCAGTAAACTCTCATATGCTGAAGTTTTTTCGAAATTAAATATATTTTGTATTAAAATTAACTTTTTTTTAATAACGGGAACTAATTTACATACCTATATTTCACGACTCTGTATAAGCTATAATTATGTATGGTATACTAATTTCGAAGTTCACAATGTCTTCCAGTGACCTTTTTTTGGGGGGGGGTGTTCTTAGTATATAGCCACTCCTCTGACTACATGTATATGGTGAAGCCCCTCAGTCCCGGTAACTTAGTCTACCCATTTCTTTAACTCCGTTTTCAAGGAAATAAAGTAAATATTCAATAAATGTAGCTGGCGAACCGACAAAAATGAATGAGTATGCAGGACTTTTATTAACCAGAAAATCTTACATATGAGTATTGAGCAGAACTACATGTATTATAAACACTAAAAATTAGAGATACAACATAGGCGTCGGAACCGGGGGGGGGGTGGCTAGGGGGGCTTAGCCCCCCCTTCCACTTTTTTTTTTCAAATATATAGTGTAGACATTGAAAATAGCTTCGTAGGTTTAGCCCCCCCCTTTCTTTCCACAGACACGTCGCATAGGTTAAAAATGGGGAAGGTGGTGGTCTTTGGAAAAAAAATTTGATACTGAAGTTTGAGCCTACTACCTACACCCCCCCCCACCCCCCCCCCCCACGAAATAGGATTTTTTCGTGTTAAGAATATGGATATTTTCCTCTCTTTTTTTTCTTTTTTTTTTTTTTTTTTTTTGAAGGTATAATTTTTTTTTATTACACTTAGCCCCTAATTTGCTTCCGACGCCAATGTACAAAGCAAACACACAAGCTTTATATTGATTCTACAACGTGGTTCTTGCCGAACCTCGAGGAATTTTTATTATACAAATAGGAAATTGGGACAAGTGAGCATGACTGTTATCCGTTTTGTATTTCGTAGGAAAGAAAACGAAAGTAGGTTAACTGTCAAGTATAAAACAGCCATATATTTACTACGTTTTGAAGTAAGTGTATGCTTTTAAAGACGTAAAAGAATATGGAGGAAATATGTATTCCCATATAGGCACCATGAGTATTGAACACTGTCAATATAGCTAGTGGAAAATTGTCTATATGAACAGCAACATTTCTACGTTTCCTGAGTGTGCATGTAAAACCATTTATGATGTACATGTAAGTTAATTTATCATGCATGAAATTGAGAGAGATATTTTATATCATGTGAAGTACATTCTCGATGCATGGAAGGTGTGACCAATGCTTCAGAGATTTATTTTTTTAGTTTAAAAGACATTTTAAAACACATCAATTTCTGCCTATCATATAAGCATATATTGAATTAATTATTAATTTATTATTATTATTATTATTATTATTATTATTATTATTATTATTATTATTATTATTATTATTATTATTATTATATACTGATATATCTAGTCTCTATTTCCATTTTCGTTTTGCTTCAGAGAAGTTTTTTTAATTACATGTATTTTGTCCTCTAACGTTTTCAGAAGGAAATGGGAGTGACACCACTACTGTACTTACGTCAATGCCTCAAGGCTATTCTAGCTATTATAAAATTTAATGCATAAATGTGCATAACAAAAGCACGGGAAACTAACCTAGCATAATAATTACAAAATTAGGTAATTTTAACTTAGACATCATCAACTAAGACCTTTTAAACTTTCAATGAAATGGGTGGTGGATCCACAGAAACAGGGGACAAAACAAAAGATGATAAGCCTAAAACTGATCATCACTGTGATGAAGACGATAGGGAAATAACCTGTGGATTTTCTCTGAAAGTGTCATCTGAAGAAACAGAGCTTAAATTGAACGAAAACGAAACGAAGAATGTGGAAAATATTTGTTTAAAAACAAATGAAGAAAGTGAAAAGAGACTGGAAAAACAGTTAGAAGAAAGAAAAGTGGTGACGACACATGAAACCAGTTCAATGAGTAGCATTTCATCCCCATTATCATCTAAACTCTTAACGAATTCCCAAAACTCAGTCTTGACAAACGATGTACAAAACAAGGATGGTACTGAAAATAGCAATTTGGATGAAAAACCACAGAATCGGCAAAGAAAAGACCCCTTGGAGGATGAAATGAGAATGAACAGATGTCATAATCCAATAAACTTAACTTCAGAAGCGATTAAGGCTTTCGAGAGAAACAGAGAAAATATTACCCGTGCTTTTAAAGACCTGGAACGTTTAAAACATAACACTACCCAGAACAATGCTAAAAATCATCAACAGAAGAAGACGAGCTCTCAAGTGTTCAAATTTGAAGGAACCACATGCACCCAAAAGGAAGATAGGGTATCTAAAAAGATTGGCACTTTTTCAAACGCACATAATTTAAAAACTAAGTCACTTGTTTTCAAGTTGCCTTCTTCAGAGACGATAAGAAAACAATTCCCTCAAAGAGCGAACGAGAAGGCCAAGATGGCGTGCAATCGATGTAACAGTTGGTGTTTGTACTGGAACGTTTGTAGAGATTGTATGGTGTACCTTTGTGATTCCTGTACAGAAATTTACCCACATTCACCAGATCACACCACAATCAGAGCTAAAGCCTTTTCTGACTTCGGATGCCTCGATCACATACAGATCTTTAAATATTTCTGTCCTGTCTGCAGCCGTTACAGATGTGGTGACTGTATTAAACTGGGGAAATGTCAGGGACATGAATTAAAAGATGCCTTTGTAAACCAAGATCAAACTGAGGTCAGTAATTCTTGGTTAAAATTAAAAAACATTGATGATATGCATGTAAATCACTTGAGAATTGCATGTATAGGTTCCTTTACAGTTGCAAAGGGGAATGGGTTGATTCATTTTTATCATTATTTGCCCTTTTGTGAAGGTATTTCAAGGGGGAAAGTTCAACGGAATTTCAAAGTCATTGAAAAGTAACATCTAAAGAATAATTTACGTCGAAAATGCCTTATAATCTAAAGCAATAGATTCTTATTTTCCATAGATTTGCGGAACTCCGAGCAAAAAGTCTGACGGAAAATAAAATAACAATAAGATAAATAATATTTAAATTTTTACTACATTATAGAATTATTATTTAAAATTTAACAATTTTGAACTTATACATGTCTATATAAGTATTTCTTCTTCAATTTTTTTGATAGACTTCCGACAGATTCCCAGCAGGAATGAAATTAAATAAAGAAATACAAACGACATTCCAGGATTCTAGTCCATCTTCGATAAGAGGAAGAGTCCTGCACGAACACTTCTGTGGGTATTGTCAGATGTCAAAGGAACGTTACAACATTTGTGAAGATTGTATGATATACCTCTGTGAGACGTGTATGGGCAACTACCATCCTAAGGATCACACGATCTGTAAACAAGTACCATTCCCTGTTTTTGGTTGTTCTAAGCACAAACAAATTTGTCGTTACTTTTGCAATTTTTGCAAAAAATTGAGATGTGATGACTGCATCTTGGCGAATGAACAATGCTCTGTTCATGCTGACAAACTTGTCAAAATACTGGACCATATTAAATACGAAAGGGTGAGTTTAACATCCAAAAATGCAAGGAATAAAAGTGGATTATTAGACATACTCAGATCAAAACCCAGACTTCTAAAAAGATTCTGGAGAACTTCTGTAAACGTTTCATAATCATTGTGATTTAATGAGCTGACGAACAAGATATTGACTTGTTTAACATCTGTATAAATTACATTTGTTTAATTTTTTCTCTTTATTTTAATTTATTCATGTAGGACAAATTCGATGAAGCAGTGCAGCAGTTTTCTTCCAGATCGTCTCGGTCCATCAATGTGCTGTCAGATCGACTTGAAGAAATTGAGGAAACTATTTCGGTTTGTAAATCCTTTAAAACACCATGTCCGATGAGATATTGTTATAAACAATTGGGACCAGTTGGTCATAATTTTGTTTTCTATAGTACTTTTTCAGTTAAAGTTAAGACTACAAAAAATGCCTGTAAAAATCATATTTTTTTCCTAATAAAAGATGAATGGAATTTTGAACAAGGAAATTTTGAGACAAGAATTTGCATCGCTTCATCAACTTATTACAGAACGGGAACAAAGACTTTATCAAAACTTTGATCAGGTATTTCAATATTTTTGTTTTTAAGGTTTTATACATGTATTTCATTAACTTAAAATTTTCATTTTGAAAAAAAAATAGATAGATACAAAATAATGAATATTTACCATTCTTTGTTCCAAATCTCAATGTTGCATGCATGAAGTTCGCTTGTAGTACTTTAATTTTAAACTGATACATGTACCTGATTTCTAAGGAATATGGGTCCTGTCTAAAGAGGATCCAACAGTACAAAAGGCGGTATGGATCGATCATGCAAGCTGATAGCAAACTTATATCGACATCTTTGCAGTTTCTTGGCAAGGAATCCTTGATGGAATTTTTCTTCGTAGGTCCACACACTTCTTTTGATTTGCTTTGTTTTTATATATAAATTTATTTTCATGAAGATGGAATTTTACAATTTGTTTATAAAGTTATAAATCTTGTTTCTAGTAAGTCAAATATGTGGAAGAAGTCTAATTGAAATTTCCAAAGGAAGAATAAAATATAACCAATACTACATATATGAACCAACGAAAGTATAATATTATATCCGCTTATATTGTCTTTTTTGTAGAGTGCTGAAAAGATCTGGAAAAGGTGTGTGTTTGTTTCTTCTTAAAATAAAAAAAATTCTATTTAAGGTATTAAGAGCAATTAAATGAAAACAAATGTAAAGTGTTGTGGTAATTTTTTTTAAATGTAGGTTGGATAGCCATAAGAAGACTTTGGAGTCTCTACCTAGCCCTGATGCTCTACTTCAGTCCCTGATTCTATCGCCAATGTCTCTCTATGTAGAAAAATCAGAGCTGGACAAATCTCTACAATTCAACAGTCTTGGTATTTGTCAACACATTAATTTCATATCATTAAAACATAAGCTCTCAGAAATAAATAAAATGTAGACAAATTTATCTTTTTCTAGTCTGTTTTGGTAAATCGTAATATTTATGAAAAATTTCATGAAAACATAATTTTAAATTAAGGCGAATGTAGCCATAAAGCTAAATGATTGAACCACTGATTGTAATATAAATGATATTGATTTCATTTTTTAGGACCTTGCTCTATAAGCTGTCGGCGATATGTAGTGTATATTGAGGATGTCAAGGCACCTATTCGTATAGATGACTTTATTTCCATTCCCAGCCCAACTCTCTCCAAATCTTTGTCGATTTGTGTGGAAATCCTAACATCTGTAAAGAAAGTAATCAGCCGTTCTGTTCATCATTCATTAGACGAATACGTCGCCAATGCGAAAAACCTTATATCCTTAGAACCGTCTCACAGATATATATTCAAATTTCATGTACAAACTTCATTCCAAATGTCTGACAAGAGGATTACGAAGAGAATAAGCAGTCCTTGCCACATCCTGGTGATCACAGGTTTACAGAATATCTATCTTTACTTAATTATTTGAAAAATAACTAAATAAATACAAAAAAAATAAGCAGCAAGATCTCACATAATTTTATATGTACGTATATTTATTTGGCGTTGTAATAAGTATTTTGCACTTAATTTGTAATTTCAATGTCTTAATTTTAATATGCAATTTTAATGAAAATTTAACAGCAGCAATAATATTACTATCATTTAACCCACCCCCGCTCTCTTTCTCTGAAATAAATTTTCTCATTTATTATTAGATAAAGCACCAATACACAAAGAAGAAAAGCAACCAAAGATGAACGTCACCAAGTGTGAAGATTTTGTTAAAACGTTGATTAGCAGGGTAGAAAGGAAGCTGAAGTTAAAGGACGACGTACAACATGAGGTTTTCTTATTCTACATGATCCACATCTTATGACAACTTATTTATTTCAATTTTTTATAACATAGCAAGAAATGTTTTATTTCACAGGAGAAACTGGATTTTTGTTGCTTGCCCAGAGGTATGATATATGTACCAGTACAGCTCTGCGTGATTTTTAAACTCACATGGGTTTTCGTACAAATTAAGTCACGTTGTTACAATACAAAACTGTATAACGAGGCATCTAAATAAATATGATAGTTTTAATTTATTATGTTCCTTAAATGAGGTTTGGAAAGATTTTGTTTTTACTCTGTTTCTTTTAAAATGCCATATAATTTTTTATCAGTGTATATAGGTGAAAATGTAAAACCAATATTTCCCACTACTGGATCAAACTTTTCGCTATTTGGCACACCTTTGCAATTTTCAGGTGAGTATTAATAAAATTAATGTTTAATGATTGACGTACTAAGAATTTTAGTTTATCAATGGAAGACATTTAATTTATTTTAATTTTAAAGAATTTAAAACTGGACAAAAATCCATTGGAACGAGACAAGCATTTGTTGCGAGAAAAGGCAAATATTTTGAAGAAAGAGAAGGCAATATCAATACCAAACACCAATGCATTACGGCAATGCCTTATTATGAAAATAAAAGTATGGAAGAACTACGAGCAGAGGACTATTTAATTAAAAGTATGTACTTTTAACTTTATTTTAGTTCATCTTTAAGGTATGTCACTCGTCAGCTTACAAAAATACTGTTAGAACTTCTTATCTCAAAATAACCAAATGAAATTTAATTTGTTAAGATAATTGAATCAATCAAATTAAAATTAAACAATTTTTAATTAAAAAAACTTTTTACAAAATAAATTAGAAATTATCTTCATACGGGACTGCTTCGTGTGCGATGTAGAATGTTATCTAGAAGAAAATACTCAAAGTCTACACATTTTATTTACTGTCTAACTCTTGGAACGTTGGCCATTTCTACTCAGGAATTTTTACGTTGTTAAGAATATTTATTGTTGGTTTCATATAATATTTCAAGAATTTTTTTTTACACATTTTGCTAAACACTTTGCCCATAATTGAAGAAATAATCATATATTTCCAATTTTTAAAAATAGGGGTTTTAATTTTTTTTTTTAAATACAAAATCTCGTCCCACACAATTTGGTTCTTTTATATTTCATAATTTTCAAAAGCATGATGTTTTCTACCGATCGATCAGTACTCAGCTCATAAAAAGTTTGATTTAAGAAATACGTGTATATTGGTGCCCGATTACATCTTTATCGTTAAGGACAGATGATACAAACAAACTTTTGTCAAAAATTTTGAAAATAACAACTTCGGTCATGTTTTAATGAATAAAAGGAATAGGTTTCACCGCATAGTTTTTAAATTTTTATTCAAAGTTGCACAAAAATGGAATTTGAAGTGAAAAATATTTGTATAGAATAATAAGAATGGTTTAAGGAGAATAGAATTTGAACGTCACAGAAGGTTTACAATTTCTTTATAATGTAGAAATTTATTATTTGCGTAATTTGCAATGAAATTATTTTAAAAAATATATACCAATCCAGGCATCCAATTTTTTGTTTGTATCACCTGTCCTTAATTTAGTATATTGAACTTCTAACAAAAAAGTCACAATAGTGGTACCCTTTTATTTAAATTGAAGCTGTATTTTTGCAAGATTAAAGTTGTTTAATTGCTTAAATATCATTAAGGGCCTTGATTGCATCTTTTATTAAAATACTGCCATAGTATAATGAAGATTAAACAAATTTTCTTTCCGATATTGGATTACACTATATGAGTAGGTATCTATATCCAAAATATACCACCAATCCATCATCTACATACTAGTATATACATGTACATGTAATGGCAGAAGTGACAAACCTTCATTAGCGTAATCATTATTGAGTATTGCAAAGAGTTTTAATTGCTATAACCTCGGAAGAATTAGGTAAATTACATATTTTTTTTTAATGAGGACTGGGATGGAATGGACATATGACAAGAAGATTCAGACCTCCCACTGACGCAAGTACAAGGTTCCAATCCATTTCCGCCATGACAGAGTATGAAAATTATAGTCCAGAAGAACTACGATTGCAGGATTATATAACCAGCGGGATAGTCAAATTTTGTACAAAGTGAATTTTATTTTAAAGGTTATAGATGAATGAACAACCATTTCCCCCTCTGAATATGGTTGAACTATCATACACTGTATCAATCTTTTTTTTTAAACTATACAAATGTAATATATGCTAGTCAATTTCAAACAGGAAGTTAAAGTTGCATTTGATTTGAGAAAATTTACGAAATGCATTTATGTACATAACTTTTAATGGGCTTATCTCGGTGTAAAGTTGACAGTGTGCTGTAATACGATATAACAAAAATGCAATATTTTTTATGGCTAGCAAAAGTCGTGATCAGCAGTAAGCAGTAATATTTTCCCCGAAGATTCCCTTAACACCAGTTCAAAAGTTGTTAAATATATTCCATTCTAGATATATGATAAGAATCTTGGTAATTAAAAGAGAACAGAACTTTTAAATTACTGCATCCTCGCAGGTCACGGATCTTTAGTCTACACGTTGTCGTTGTATGGCTACATGGTGACTTAGGACCATTGGCTCGCGAGGATGAAATTACTGTACTGTTTATAAATGTATGTTGTCCTTTTTTTGTTTCATCAAGAAAAATTGTCATTCCGAATATACATGTATCTATGTTGAATGAAAAACTTTATATTTTAATATGCAGCTTACAAATTGCTGGCAAGAACATACCGACAAATATTAATAAAAATTTTATCAAAGGACAAAATATGTACAAAATGTATTTTTATATATACTTAGAAGTACTTGCTCAACATGTTTGATATTAGAATATTTAATTTTACTTTCTTATTACTCACTTATTTACTTGTGTTTTTAATTTTTGTCGTACGAAAATAAATACATCATATTTGCAGATTGTAGGTTGTTTGTTTTAAAATTACCATTTTCATGGTGCCAGGTATTGTTAAGAAGATTTAAGAAAAAGAACTTTCTTGTGACACTGTTAAGATATGTATATCATAGAGGAACAAGCAAAAGATCAAATAAAACAATAACAAATACTATAGTACTTCTGAAACCCTTAAAACCAAAAAATAGAAGAAATAAGAAAAGAAAAGCAAGGAAATATGCCTTAAATGTACTATGCATGTTAAACTGTAAATTGATATGACATGATCGGTTTTTAGGTTGTATCGATATTTGATAATTTCACAATATACATGTAACTTCATATCATCAGAGGTTAATTTAACTTCTCTAAATTATAAGTGTTTGTATTTGTTTCTTTATTTGAACATTTTATTTATCACAATTGCATCGGTACATGTATTTTTAAGTAGTACATTGGTAATGAAGCATATTCATTTCTTTGTTTAGAAGGAACATCATTCATATTATAAAACAAAAAAAACTCTGTAAATTTCATAGATTTTATTGGCTAATCGAGTGTTGTACATACCAGGGGTATATATTCATTTGTTGAATAACTATTGAATATGTATACAGCTTTTAACACACTATCGCCCCTTCCCTCTATAAAAAAATATATCCCGGACGAAAAACAGCATGCAATTAAAATTGTTTTTTGCGCTCTCATACGCGACACGCTACATTTTTTATATATATACATATTTCCAGTGTTGTGTACGTTATTCATTTACTGGATTTTATCCGGATAATGCGTGCCCTTTAAAAAGGTCTTTATTATCCTATCGTAAACATCCGATTCAAGTTCCTAGGAACCACGGCTATATTTATTTAATTTTCAACGTACAGGTTTGTTTTGAATTTCGCAACTTTTAAAAACTACTTCTCCTACTCCTTTAATTTGAATTTTCTTAGTTTGTTTTTTTATGACACAGGGCCCTATAACACCGTGTATTGCTTTGTACAGTGTTGTAATGCAGTTACTGGAGAAGAGTAACATTTACCCTATTGACAAATAGGTTGGTTTTAAGATGTATTTTGTGTATCTCTTTTACTGTCTTGTCGCCGACGTATAGTACAGAGTTTAGAACCCTCTAGAGTCGAGGAGTGGGGAGATAAAGACTGTTGAAAATGGTGTTGTTTGTGATGACGATCTGATGATTTGAATCTCATAAGGCACACTTAAGAGAAGAAGACATGCAAAAGTAATTAAATAAATATGGGAAAGAGATAACTGTAAAATCTTCAAGATCAAGATTAAATATGAAGCAATGAAAGAAATATTAAGTAAACCTATGTCATTCCTGAATTTTAATTAGAAAAAAATTCTAAGGTTTTTGTAAGGAATTCAAAGAACTTCCGAATATATATTGACTCTGATCTTATTTTATTCTTCTGTTTGAAAATGCATATAGAGGAAAAATAAACGAAAAATTGGAGATCTTAGTGCTGAGACGAGCATAAATAGAAACTTATGAATTTGAAAGTTTTTTGATTGATAATTTATCTTTATGTGTATCACAATATCTATCTTATGTGTTGAATCAATGGCCGTTGTAATCAGTTCAAGTAGGAACCACCATGATGAAATAGCGGTTGAAAAAATGATTTAGCAAGTAGTTTTTACTGCTTATTTCTTAAGGGATGAAAAATCAGACTTTGAAGGATTGAGAATCTTTTTATTGCTCTGGTTCAAAGATAAATGTAGAGAAGTATTGGATTTCAGGTACAAATATATATTTTTCGTAGTTGGTGTATGACGGACAATGTTATCAATCTAAGATGTATATCGGTTAACAGGTCATCAGGGTACCTATCAAGAGATTGACGAATAACTGGACAGTAGTTACGTCACATGATTAACAACAGGTCAACAAATCTGCATATCAGTGATATAAATCCATTATATGTTCAAGTGTCGACTGATCAGCAAGGACGAATATTAACTGGTTTGTAGGTTACATTTATGCTATAAATTATGTAAATCTTGAATTTTAGAATTTTTTAATTGACATGATATGAATAACCTTTGGTGTAATTTTTTTCTTCTTACATACGCAGGCTTTCAATAAGAGTCTCCTCAACAACGACAAATGATAATCAATGAAATGCAGTCGGCCTGCGGGAGAACTGTACAGAGTTTGATATCTTTTCCAAAAGGGGAGAGTACTTTATCGGAACAATGCAGATATTGTCTGAGGTCATTGGAACGTTACAACATTTGTGAAGATTGTATGATATACCTCTGTGACGAGTGTATGGTGCGCTTTCATCCCAATGACCACACTGTTTGTAAACAACTTCCATTCCCAGTGTTTGCATGTTCTAAGCACAATCAAATCTGCCGCTTCTTTTGCAAGTTTTGTAAAGATCTAAGATGTGATGACTGCGTCGTGACGAACGAGCAATGCTCTGGGCATGCTGATGGGCTAATTAAAATACTGGACCATATAAAACATGAAAAGGTAGAGTTTTATAAGGTGTTTATGAAAAATAATTTAGAGTTTTAGAATTTTGTAATACATAAGTTAAAAAACTCTTTACTACACGTTTTAAAACCGTATTGATGATGTAAAAAGAATACAGGATACTTTTTCGTTTTAGATTTTAAAAATGCTTTTAAAACCATGACCTTTATTATATATCTGGAGATGTTTAGCTAATACTTCTTTATTAATTCACCAGGACAAGTTCATCAATGAAACTCAACTGTTTTCTTCCAAAGCGTCTAAGTCTATTGAAATGCTGTCACATCGACTAGAGAAAGTTGAGGAAACATTTTCGGTGTGTAGACACCTTTATAAATACTGACAGATGAGATTTTATTTTGTTAACAATTTGGACAAATTGGTTGGATATGTATTATGGTCGATTTTTCGCTTATTAAGTAATACATTATTTGTTTTTTTTTTAAATATGCTACGTATACAAAATCAAAGGCTTTGCACTAGAAAAAATTCTTTTCAAGCGTACATGCACAAAAATAATAAATTGTTATTTTTCTTCTTTAAAAGTTGAATGCGATTAACAACAAGGAAATTTTGAGACAAGAATTTGCCTCACTTCGTCATCTTATTACAGAGCGAGAACAAGAAATGTATCGAACTTTTGATATGGTAATCATTAAATTATTTTTGTTTTTTATTTAAATATTGTATCTTCAATTTAATTTTATTGAAAATTACCTTTTGCGATTTCTATAATTTTATTTTTAAAAAAAGTTTAATTTAGTGTAAAATAAAGTTGTGGGTTTGAATGCAGATAGCAAAATTGTTATCATATATTTTAGTAGCTGGCTTAACTTACTTTATTTATCTGTTTGATAAGGAATATGATTCATGTATGAAAAGTATTAAAAAATACAAAAGACGGTATGGTTCGATGATGCAAGCTAATACCAAAGTAATAGCGACATCTGAATATCACCTTGGCAAGGAATCTCTCACGGATTTTTACTTTGTAAGTCCATAAACTTCTTTAAGTTAAAATAACGCAATGTTTGTCTCAAAATATAAATTCTGTTAAAAAAGCTGACATAAGCTCTGTTTAACTTGTTTAGCTCTGTTTAACTTGTTTGATAACCCACCCAACAGAGGTTGTGAGAGGCTAAGTGAAACTAAAATTGTTGAAAATCAAACTATTTAAAGAAATTGTTACAATAGAAAAAATACTAACAGAAGTATATATGTGTTTCTCTATTTATATTTCAGAGCGCCAAAAAGATATGGAAGAGGTGTGTGTGTGGGTTTGATCTTAATCTTAAAGATAATGAAAGGAAATGCATACTTTCAGTGTATCATTTAAAGTTTGCAGTTCTTACAATGCAGCTATTACATGTTTCGTATAGGTTTGATAAGTATAAGAAGAATTTGGAGTCTCTACCTAGTCCTGATGCTCTACTTCAGTCTCCGATTCTATCGCCAATGTCTCTCTATGTAGAAAAATCAGAGCTGGCCAAATCTCTCCAATTCAACAACCTGGGTATTTGCTAACTTTTATGTTTTGCGCTACTAATAGAAGATAGAATATTGAGCATTGTCATCTTATTCTTTTCTATTAGTGTACCATTTTTCGTACGAATGTTGTTCCATAAATTTATGATTAAGAAAAGGTCGAGGAATATAGGGTACTGAAGATTAAGTATGTTTTCAATATTAAAGATACTGATTTCACTCTTTACATGCTTTAGGTCCTTGTTCTATAAGCTGTCTGCGACATGTAGTGTATATTGAGGATGTCATGAAACCTATTCGGCTGGATGAATTTATTTCCATTTCCAGTCCACTCCTCTCCAAGACTTACTCCATTTGTGTGGAAATATTAACATCTTTAAGGAATGTTATCAGCCGTTCTGTTCACCATTCATTAGACGAATACATAGTCAATACGGAAAATCAAACAACCTTAGACCCATCACACAGATATATATTCAGATTTCGTGTACAAACTTTATTTAAAATGTCTGACAACAGAACTTCGGAGAGCATAAGTAGTCCTTGCCACATCATGGTGATTACAGGTATAAAAAAGTAAAACATTTTTAAATATATCAAACCTTTTTTATTTTGTTCCACTAAGACGATAAGATATTGAATAAAAATTTTGTATATAATTTTTGAAGGTAAGAATTCTTATTCTGGAGCAAATTGTTTTCCATTTGGAATTTCTTTACAATCTTCAGGTAAGAATTAAATTATTATACCTTAATGGGTTTTTTTTATTTCTAGTTCAAAGTATTCAAGACTTCAACTTCTTTATGTGGCAACATTAAAATTCATGGTTCATTCAAAGATTGCATTTCACGTGAAGTGTCATGAACTCAATCCAGAGTCATTTGAACAAGTTAATAGTCACATACAGAAAACTGTTCAATTCCTGCTTTGATCATATCTTGTAATGAATATATATTGAAGTATATATTCTATTATATATATTCTATATTGTAAGGGTTAGTCATGATATACAACTGTAATTCAAAGTGATATTTGAAAGTTCAAGATCACAGAAAAAGGGTCTTATGGAGAATTTTTTTCAAACAAAGAATTCTTGTGACCAAAGGATGTGTCATTTTGTTAAAAAAGATCCTTTTCGACAAGGTCATGTTTACAAAATTGAGAATGAACGGTGATGGTGTCATTTTGTGAACTTCCTTACATTACCAATGGTTTAATTCGAAAAATAAAGTTTAAAAGAGCTGAAAGCAAAAGATTACTAAAGAAAATGTTTATTAAATGCTTCTCTTTTAATTTCTTACTAGTCAACTTTTTTTGAAAAGCTGCTTCTGATGATAAGAAAATTAATGCTGCAGAGTATTTAAGAAGAAACTTTTATTTAAAAAAAAATATATACAAATATTGAGTTATATAAAATGTTTCCATTATTCAGGACAGATGTTTGATAGGTCCATTAGAGGAAGATTTCGACCTCCAACGGATGACAACTCACGGTTTCAATCAATGTTTGCCATGACAGAGTTTGAGAATTATAGTCCAGAAGAATTACGGTTACAGGATTATATAAACAATGGAATAATTAAATTGAATAATCCATGACATAAGTTTTCGGATTTTGAGAGTCCAGGTAGCAGTAATGGTTTGCTGGTTACATTTTTGAAAATTTCTGAACTGGGAACTTCAGGAACAGTTTATAAGTAATTACTTGACTATATTATCCCAGACGATACCGTGTTGGAGAGGAACTGGCGTCTTGTATAAAATAAATCTCCTTGATAAATAAAAATAAATAAAGGGAATTTTATAAATGTCAGATATGTATGTCAATGTATATATTGAAAGATGTTTCTGCATGTCTCGGTATATAAAGTTCTTAGATTACTTAGTATAATGAACAGTTATCATCTAGCAATTCTAATATTGATCAGAACCAAATTTGTTTTTCCATGTATAATAAATCTTAACAAACTTGTTGTAATTTCCAATTTTATGTCAATACGATATATCCTGGTGAGCTTGAGATAAAAGATACTACAGAGTTAGACGCATCTGTTTTAAATTTGGATATTTTACTTGAAGAAGACGTTAATGGTAATCTAACAACCAAGCTCTATGATAAACGTGATGACTTTTAGTTTCTTATCGTCAACTTCCCTTACTTATGCAGCAATATACCTTCATCACCTGCATACGGTTTTATATATATCTCAGCTGATTCGATACGCAAGAGCGTGCTCTATGAACAATTTCTAAAACGAGGTAAATTATTGACAAACAAGTTGATAAAACAAGAATTTCGGCAGTCTCGTTTAAAGTCATCATTTTGTAAGTTCTATGGTCCATACAATGACCTTGTCATCAAATACAATGAATCAAATGCTGACCGACGTTTTTCATACTAATTGTTTGACCATTATTTATACACTGAATTTTACGACTGATTTTTCTGTTAGTTCCCGATCATGACAAAAACCACACGGTAGGTGTGACGGGGGATGCTCACTCCTCCATTACACCTGAGAGTTCTGTTTTTGTTTTGAAAATTGACTTGGAGGTAGGCGGGAGAACAATACTATCGTTCGTAATTCTTTATGACATTAAAAGTTGAACTCATTAAACGGCGTTGTATCATTAGCCTTGAACCAAAGTTTTTTTTTTTATTATTATTGTTGGACAGTTAATGAGTAAATGTTATAGAGTTCTTAGGTTTGGGTAGGTTGAATCCTTGACTGTATGATTTTGTGTCCGACCTCTCTTTCCCCGTTATGCTGCATACATATACATGATATATTTAATTTTGACTTCTGTGGCAAGATGACTATCTTAGTAGAAGTTTTCACTTTTCACTTTTAATAAATACTTATAAATTTCATTATTTGAATGAAAAGTAATTGAGGTAACAGAAGATATACTTTTTTAAAGGACTGAGTTCTTTGTTGTGATTTCATTACCTTTACATTTAACATAATACTTTATCATTAAACAAATTCTCTTGATGACTTTTTCCTCACTAACGGTCGCATCGTCGTACATATGACATAAATAAATATATATATTTGTTTAGTACTGCATATCAGTCATTTGACCGGATCAATGGGATACATTTTACTTTTAAAGAGTGTTAAAAAGAAGCCTTATCTGATGGAGGGACGAACGACAACTCTGCATGGGAAATTGCGCAAAGACATTTAATTTAATTGTTGTTTCACTGAATAGAAAACGAAAGTAGAAAACTTGTCATGCGGAAAATGCATCAGTTTGCAAGTTTTTTTCAGGTATTTATGATTGTTTTTGATTTGATTCTTAATTCAGTCATTTTAAATAAATCAAGAAACATTTATCTCGTTGCATTAGTTTAAACATTGTGCGGAAAAATATGATATTGTTTATACGTTGAATATGTACTTGATTTATGTTGACATTCACTTCGCTTGTTTTAAAGTATTTTAACGTTTGACATATTTGAGTTCATTTTAGATGGATTTGTGGACCAATGTGTATTATATATGAAGTAATCATGGAAAACAAAAGCAAATCGGAAATGGAGGAAAAACTTGAAATTGATCATAAGGAAGAAATAGAGGAGTTCGAATCAGATGAGGTGATTGTGAGTTCAATTGACAGAAAAAGTTGTGGTGATTTGGTCAGTTGTACCAAACAAAATGATTTTAAAAGTAGCATGGCAAAAGAATCCCAATATCGAGATGTACAAGAAAGTGAAGTTACCGAGATTCATATTTCTACGGAAGAACATTTGATGAAAACAGGATTGGACAATGAGGATAAAGACAGTAGTTCAAACATAGACATTGATAGGCTCGAGGAAAAATATCACGAAAATGAAGAAACACTGCACAGAAAGAGTGAAATCACTGATTTTGATTCTACAATAACGAAAACAAAAAGTGACTTTAAATACACCGGTGATGAAAAAGTCGAGGGAATTTCAGGTAAAATCGCTGTTACTCACGAGGAAAGAAAGGGTGATGAATATTACGAAACTAAAGAAACATTGCACAGAAAGAATGAAGTCACTGCTTTTGATTCTACAATCACGAAAACGAAAACTGACTCAAAATACACTAAAGATGAAAAAAGCGAGGGAATTTCTGGTAAGATGACTGTTACTGATGAGGAAAATATTGATGATGACTATATATGGGATGATTGTTCTCCGATAACGTTTTCTTATACAACTTTGGAAAACTTTGAAAAGAGGAAAGAAATCAACGATAGTTTAATAAATTCAAAAGAGAGTGTAAAGGAAAGAGATAGTATGCAATGTCTTCATACAGATACATCCAAAACGTGTGACCAAGAACTGGGACCCACAGGAAATCGTGAGAGCGAAAACGCTGCGCGAAAAATTGACAAAAAGGATGAAAAATGTACATCCAGAAAAACAAACATTTTGGAGCAGACTGTCAGCATTCAAGATTCATGTAAAGACCTTCCAGAACATAGAAAGAATGTTCTGTTTGAAAAAGAATTATCCAATTTAAGTATTGAAATGAGACAGAGGGAATCGTGTGCTAATTTAGGGCAAGAAACGCTGAGAGATGATTTTAACTTGAAAAATGCTTCAAACGCATCAAAAGAGGCATCGAGTCATTTAGCTGAAAAACACACTTCACAGAATGTAGAAGATTTATGGAAATCATTCACCAGTAAATTACAGTCTCAAAAGCCTGATGAGTTTTGCAAAACATTTCCTTTTGATTTCAAATTTTCACCGTCAAAAGACAGGGGAAAATGTGTCACAAAGAAAGAAATAAGTTCAGAGAATAACACTTCAAACCTTACAGTGCCTTCCAAAGCTCTAGGAACTTTATCTGATCACTATTGCACTTACTGTGGACAGACAAGTGAACTTTATAATGTTTGTGAAGATTGCATGGTATATTTCTGCAACAATTGTTTTCTAAGATTTCATCCAAGAAACCATACTATTTGTAAATCAAAACAGTTCTCTACCTTTGCATGTTCTGAGCACAAACAAATCGGTCGTTATTTCTGCGAAGTCTGCAAAGCACTAAAATGCGAGGAATGTGTCCTTGGGGAAGGAAGATGTCATGGACACAAAATCAAGAAACTTTTGAAGCATATCACAGAGGAGAAGGTTAGTAACAAAATGTATTTTCATTCAAAAAATTTATGTTTCGTTTGTTTCAATATTCAAAGAATATAATCTCTAAGGTCTTTAAAGCAAGAATCCTAAATCAATCTTATTTATTTTACAGGACAGATATGATGAAGCAATCAATAATTTTTCCAATCTCAGCTCCCAAACAATCAATTTGCTGTCTGCAGAATTGGACACAATTGAGCAGAACATTACCGTAATTTTTTATTAAAATTTAAACTTATCATATGAGATGTTACTTATTTGCATTCATATATCGATTCATTATATTACAGAGAACATCAGAAGGCTTTCCTTATTTACAGTAGCAAATAACATTTCTTCAATTATCTGCTTATAGTATTTACATCTCTCAATTAATTCCATTCTCAAGAGCATGCACTGAGTACCAACGATTTTAAAACCGAGGCAACATCATGAAGATTTGTTGATGTTACATGAATTTCGACAAAATGGTTACAAATAAGCATTTTATGATAGTTATAATGACCTCACTACCAAATATTCAAGTATTCCATTATTGGATTTTTTTTGGGACTGATGTGTTTCATGCATACAAATTGTCAATATTTGTTTAATACTGAATTCGACTACGGAAAGTTCCGTCTACTTGATAAATTGTTAAGTTCACGGCAGGTGTAAACTGTTAACAGCGGATGCTTACTTCTTCTAGGCACCGGAGCCCATCCCTGGATTTTCTATGGAATTGATGTTTATTTTCTGTTCACAGAATTGTATTCTATATAGATTTTTCTGAGTTCGATCACTGTTTGTTGTCTTCACCTATTTTAATATTATCCTCCTCTGGACGTATTTTTTATAGTCTGTTTATTATATTATACATGTAAATAAGTCGTTACTTTCAGTCGGTCTACATTTACAAATACAATAGATATCTTTTTTAAAAATCAATCAAGGACCAACAAAAATTTGAATTTAGTGATAATGTGTTAATTGAAGAATCAATTACTTGAAACGTTCGTGATAGAAATAATGGAAACATGTCTTAATAATTTAATTTCAGTTGTTACACGTCTTTTGATTAGATTTAAGATTTAATTCATATTGTTTAATATAAGTTGCCTTCGTCCCAATAAGCAACGTCAAAAACGCATTACTCCGCTTGACGTTAATTATAAAATATGTTGCATTTGAAACCATTTGGGGGAATTGTTGTCTTATTGTTTACACTGAAATTGAATAATAATAAGTGAAGCTATGTTCTACAATATAACAAGACTTGGAGTAGTTTAATTAGCTTCAAGTTACGTTATATCGTATAACATAGGTTAAGTTAAGCTTCATTCTTTAATAAATGTACACTGGCATGTACACTAGCAGTTATAGAACATATCAAACAATTTTTATCTTGTTTCTTAAGCAATACCCATGAAAATACATAATTTCATTCATAATTAGTTTTGGTTTTTTAGATGAATGCACTTCAGAGAAAGGAATCTATAAGACAGGAGCTAGCATCACTTCGTCATATGATAACTGTTAAAGAACAAGAAATGTACCAGGATCTAGAACAGGTAAAACCGTATAACAGTTTTTAATCTCTTAAAATGAAACATCTCTACTCAAAGGTAAAAGTGAAAGAAGAAGATACGGTAATAGTTTTATTTTGCCCAAAATATTTGATGATGATAACTGGCTTAAATATGAGATTAACTGACTGACATATCATTAAAATATGAATGATGACTATTTTGGTTTTCTAACGTCATTCATTTGATAAATTTCTCTGTTTTAACCAGAAAAAAAACATCAATATGACTGATTTCTATTCTTTTTACCAATAAATACAGGGTCAGATATATATTGCAACCGCGTCTTAATCTTCATGTTGACTGTTAAATTATCAACGTTAATGAAGTACTCATTTGTTTGACCATAATTTTTATTTATAAAAATGATTTCATATTTAATTTAAAACCCTTTTTTAGTTCTCTTGGCATTTCAGATTTTTTTTTTAAATCACAAATCTTTAATTGCAAAAATTAGATTTTAAGAGTGTGATATTTTAGGATTTCAGATTGCAGTTAAAATTGATAAGACAAAGGCGGAGAGAATACGGGTCTTACTTGACAGAGGATAATAATTTACTTTCCAAGTCTTTACATGCCCTTGGAAAAAAATCGCTTTTGAATTTCCATTTTGTAAGTTACCATTTTTATCCATTGATAAAGCTTGAAAATTTATTCTACCAAAGACAATATCCATATAAAACAAAGTTAGTTTTTTTAATCAATTTATTTTTTATCTTATTTTCAGAGTGTACCAATATTATGGGAAAGGTAGGATTTTTTTAAATTTTTTTGAGCAAATAAGTAGAACATAAAAAAAATATCTTAAAGTTTAAAACAATCATTCTACAAGAACTTATGATTTTAGGTTTGAACAACACAAGAGAAACTTACACTGTCTAAAAAGCCCAGACGAATTGTATGCTTCACCATTGAACTTCCCGTTTTCTCTTTATGTCGAGAAAAAGGAGCTGGACAAATCATTACAGCTGAAGAGTATAGGTAAAAACGGTTTATTTGAAAGAAAAAACAAAATAATGTGTACTTTGCTTTCAATCTATTTAATTGAATAATTCTATACAAATTGGACAACATGCAGAGCTTATGCACACCCTCTTCTTGTAATACATGTACCAAATAAGATATATAACCTATATTTAAAAAAGTGATTTGGTCGTGTGTGAAAAAAATTTTAAAAACTAATTTAGGAAAAAAAGTATGCACAACATTGAATTCACAAATGTTTATTCAAAGCATCATCAAATATATCCTGTTCATGCCATACGATGTACCTTGATGACGTCACAAGACCACTGCGTCTTCAGGAATTGGTTGTCGTTCATCCATCTACCTTGTCCAACTTCCAGACAGTATTTGTTGAGATTCGAAAACCGCTACAGAACGTCCTCTGGAAATCTGAGTGCACTGCAGACGACTTCATAGTTAATACTGAGGACAGAATTATGTTAGAACCCAAAAACAGATACATTGTCAAAATTTCCGTTCAAACCACAACGCAATGGTCCGAGTACAGAACAACACAGAGAAAAGACAGACCTTGTCATATTTTACTTATAACAGGTAATTCAATTAAGTGCAATAAAGTAATTATTGTTAACAATAGCAAAATATATGTATTCATATTTTCTATTGAACAATATATTTCTCGTTCTTTGTTTCAATAAGATAGTTGTTGATCAACTCCATACCTTTCATGATTTATAAACCTTTAGTATATGGTCGAAAAAATTAACATATCAGTACTCATATGACCAATTGAAACAGCTTTATCATTAACTGATATGTACAAAAAAATTACATATGGTAAGTTTTCTATAACAATATTTGCAAAGGAATTCGTTTGCATACCAAATAACTTTTGTTATGAATATTAATTCAATAATATTTTAGCACCAGTATACCTTAAGATATACAACATCTTTCAAATTTGAACTCGCATTTACAATTTATTTGGCAAAATATTTACCCGTACCATTTGCTTTCTATAAAATTAATGAATTTTTCTAGATATATACTACCCGGTACATGTTATAATGTTTTCTTGCATAAATTAAACTGTTTGACATAAAATTGTATGAAGATGACTGAAGATTTATCAAATTTATTTTGCATACAAACCCGTATTTTATTAATGTAGGAAACGATGCACCGATGGACACTAGAATGGATTCAGTTTTTTCTCAGGAACACATCGTTGGATTACAATTTCAAGAATTTTGGGAAAGAAACCTTACAAAAGTCAGTTTCTTTTTTATTCATGTTTTGAATATATATGCGAGGGTTGTTTGAAAAGTTCGTGGACTTTTGTCATATTTTTTTTATTTGACGTCATAAGTTATCCAAATTTGGTAGAAATATTTTAACAAGAAATACAAATGATTTGTATTATTCTTTTATATATATATATCACGATTTATCGAAATTTATCCAGATTTTAAAAATTCAAAAATCGGATCGCAGAACAAGTCAAAATTTTGTAAGTTACAAACAATACACTAATAAATGTTGTAGTCGTATTCTATGTAAAATGGAACAAAAACAACATAGAAATTCAATTTAAGAATTGTTACATCTATTCGTATTCTAAATCATACCTTAATATTTTGCTTTGTTGAAAAGAAATCAACTTTAGAAGACATGTAGTCCTCATTTAAACGACAAAAATGATGACGCTTACAGATAACGATGCAATTTTGTGTTTTACTCAGGGAAAAATCCTGAATAAATTCTAAAAATGAATGTCATAAGAGGAAGTTTTACAAGTGTGTACAAATAGTACAGACAGTATTTGAGTGACAGAGACTCTGTTTGGATGAGTACATTATGTGAAGAAATGTTATGTGGTTTAACTGTAAAAATCTGAACAAAAACTTTAAAAAGTTGGAACGTCGAGGAACGACATAGGCGCTTCAGATTTGCTTATCATGTGAAAGCAGAGATAAGTAATAAAAGAAATTAGAACCTTAACAGAGAAATTGAACGAAGAGAACAATTCTTTAAAAATTAATGTCATGTATTAGAAAAAGGATTTAATTAGTGGGCATTGGATTATACTGTGTGTATCGTATTTTTAGAAATTCTTGACGCTATGTTTTGACTTTGCTTTGCTGTTAAGTGTGCTCCGCGGATACAAATATGTTGATTTTAAAATCAATATTTTATTAATACATATTAAGTCGCATAGAATGAAACATCAGCAAAGAAATATTTTAAGATATTGTGCTCATTTTAAATTTCTAGTGAGAAATATAACGAAGATTGACATCGTCCACGACAGGCACGTAGCATAGTTTTTGAAAGTGTGGGGGGCCAACCTGAGAAAATTTTTTTACTTACCTAAAATAAGTGGCCAACTTCCTTTCCCTTCCAATTATTTCCTTTATTTCCTTGCTATCAATATACTGTGGTAAAAAGCGGGGGGGGGGGGAACTAACTTTTCAAAGGACATTTTCTATAGTAAAGGTAATGTTGAGGAAAAAAGTGGGGGCCAGGCCCCCTGGCCCCCTGTTGCTACGTGCCTGCACGAACTTTTCGAACAACCCTCGTATGTATGTATAGAAGATATCTTTACCTTAAAAAGGATTTTCCTCGCAAGTAAAAGGCTATGAATCTAGACATAAGCTTATCTGAAAACGATGTCTAAGCCTGAATTGATTTGTTTCACCTCGAAATTTTCAAAGGCAATTTTCTATAGTAAAGGTAATTTTGAGGAAAAAAGTGGGGACCAGGCCCCCCGTCCCCCCCCCCCCCCCCCCTGTTGCTATGTGCCTGCACGAACTTTTCGAACAACCCTCGTATGTATGTATAGAAGACATCTTTACCTTAAAAAAGATTTTCCTCACAAGCAAAAGGTTATGAATCTAGACATAAGCTTATCTGAAAACGATGTCTAAGCCTGAATTGATTTGTTTCACCTCGAAATTTTCAAAGGACATTTTCTATAGTAGAGGTAATGTTGGGGAAAAAAGTGGGGGCCAGGACCCCTGGCCCCCCCCTGTTGCTACGTGCCTGCACGAACTTTTCGAACAACCCTCGTATGTATGTATAGAAGACATCTTTACCTTAAAAAGGATTTTCCTCACAAGCAAAAGGTTATGAATCTAGACATAAGCTTATCTGAAAACGATGTCTAAGCCTGAATTGATTTGTTTCACCTCGAAATTTTTATCTTTTCCCTAAGAATATTATACAATTAATGATACATAATGAAATGTTTAGGATTTTATATATATTTTTATTTATTTTGACGTTGCTTATGTTCTGGGGAAAAAATGTGAAAGGAAAGGTTTTCTAACATTAAATGTAAGATTTCTTTTTGTAGCCATCTCTCTACAAGATTTATGGACAATCTTTGGAAAATCCATTTAGTTCAATAGATTTTAAGCAAATGAGTTTTGAGGTAAATATCTATCTTAAAAATTAATTACATAAAAAGAGAAATAAACGTATTTTCATGCTTGTCTTACAAGTTGAGTCACATTGAAATAGGAATACCACTACCTGCCGGTTGAAGCATGCAAATAAAGACCCGACTCGACTCTAGCTCACGATTTTCGAACTGTTAGCGATTTCTTTTCATGCCAGGACCTACTGTAACACTTCAGATTATAAGATCTCACCCAAAGGACAGATCTACACGTCCTGCATGTGGATTTCAACCCTCCCCCCATTTTTGTCACTTGAGCTTTCAGCTTTCGGGAACTTTCTAAAGAAACAGAATATAGTTTATAATTAGGGCCCCGCAAGGATTTGCGGGTGCCCTATAGTAATCACTCTGTCTGTCCGTCTGTCTGTCTGTCTGTCCGTCTGTCACTCTTCCGTCCACAAATTTTCTGTTTTTTTTCTAATAACTTTTTTTATGGTTACCCAATCAAGTTCAAATTTGGTATGGTAGTTCAGTAGGCAGAAATACATATTTTGATGCTAAGTTTGGTTCTCTATGTCTTCCGGTTTGGAGCTGGGGTGGTGGGGTAGATTCCTTAACTATGCATAAGAATGAATGGGCAACTTTTTTTATGTTTGCCCAATCAAGTACAAATTTGGTATGGCAGTTCAGTAGGCAGAAATACATATTTTGATGCTAAGTTTGGTTCTCTATGTCCCCTGGTTTGGAGCTGGGGTGGTGGGGTAGATTCCTTAACTTTATATATGAAAGCATTGGCAAAGAGAGATAACTGCTGAAGATGTTCCCATTGTAAACTGAATGCTGCTATGAGTCCCTTGGGATTAATTAGCTTTCCTCCTGAAGAAAATCCAGAGCATTATCTTTATCTGTCAAATTGAGATGAATTACCACCTCTGTCTGCAAATGAAGTTTGTGTTGAAGTTAAGTCAATTTGGAATGCTATGAACACTCTGAAATGTGGATTTAAATATAAATTTTTATAATTTATTTTTGTTTAATAGTTATGATTTCATTGAATTCTAATAACAAGAAATAGATTAAAGAAGATTTTTTGATAATTTTAGGATAGTTGTATAAAAACCCCATTCTATCATTAATACTGAAAAAGTTCTTATTGTAACTTTAGAAGAAAATGATGAGAGAGGTACAATTAATCCCTTGGGATTAATTATCTAGCCTGCTGCAGAAAATTTAGTAGGCTTTTCTCTATCTGTCACTTTAAGATTAATGAAAACCTTTGTCTGCAACTGCTGTTTGTTTCAAGTTAAGGTCAAGCCTTCATGATATTTGCATGCATTGAAGGCTGGCATATTATATAACACAAACTTCATAATTGTTTAAATATACATTCAATGTTAAGTTGTTTTTTACTGCCTAGTGTAAATACAAGGATATTATTTTCAGGTTTTTGAATATTCAGGAATTATCTTGAAATTTTAAGAATACAGTTGCTGTTGCTGTTGCTTATTCTTCGTATACATTTTTTAATCATTCCGTAAACTGCACCCTATTAATTCTACCCCATGACGGGGCCCTTGCTGACTGGTCAGTTTTCTAGTTATAATAATCTGCAGACAATTGAGGCAAACATCGCGATTAATATAAATGTCATTTTATTTTTAATAATAGTTTTTCATCATTATGATTTTTCTCTCTTATAAGAGAGGTATAGACCCTTTAATTAAAATATGCAGGTAATTAAATTAATGGTGTAAGTCTATGGACTTACCTTCCAAAAATTTTTGTAGAGTGTCGTTAAAATATGAAAAGCGTTATCTTTTGTTTTTGTTGAAACGTCGTTTTGGCACACACGTTGTAAATTTGAAAAAAGTAACTATGCCTTCAAGAGATTTCAATAAAATATTTAGTTTATGATGACATGAATGAAAAAAAAAGATACATGTACTGTTTAAGGTATTTCCGTCCTCCTATGATGTCTAATTTTTTTTTTTCAAAAACTGTTATCAATTTTACTTCACAGCAAATAGAACAAGAAAATGTCATTTTGGGGAATGCTTTTCAATCGATGTAATGATAGATATTGTTAAGTAAAAGATTTTTAAAATGCATATTTTTATTTAATCAATTATTCAATCTTTTAAAATGTTGACAAAGGCAATAAGTCCTTCTCAGGTATCTCTATCCAGGCTTTTTTTTTAAAAAAACTGTTCTTATAATGTAAATACATGTAGTTTCCCTGGTAATCACAATTCAACAGTAACCTATAAGTAGCAATTATTTCAGAAATTTCAGCACCAGATTTATGCATTTGAATCAGTTTTTACATGATTTTTATAATACTATTTACAAAAAATATACGATTTTTTTTTGTTGACATACACTTCCGTTAACTTATGTCTCTCATCTTAAATAATATGACGACCTATACATTTCTTGCAATTATTGGTAAATTTTAACCATGTTAAATGAAAATATCTGCGGTTTTTGTGCTTTGAACCATTAAAATTATGAAGGCGGAGAGACCTTAGCATATTCTATTTATAATTAATATATCGTATTTATATTTCATTTATGTTTCATTGAATATATTTCTTTCATTTATTACATTTACGCATAGTTAGTGTTATATGATTTTTACACTTTTCAGCTGTTCTTTTAGATAGAGAATAAGTTTATTGTAAACATTATATCTTAAATCATCTCATCTTCTTTTCAGGTTCTTTGTTTTAAGAAAAGTTAAAATATTTTAATAATTATGTTTTTAGGAAAGAAGATATATTTCCACATATTTGTAAGTAACAAAGGTTACTGTTACAAAATATACACTTTTTGTATTTAAGTTATATGTAGCGTTGTTCTTTCCGTAAAGCTAAAAAGTTTGATGTTAGTTTTTTCATCAACAACAAAAAAAGCTTATTAGATGTTTACTTAACTCATTTCATGCATAAAAGGTTTTTTTTAATTCATAACCTGTCATTTCATGAATAATGTGGGGTAAAATCATTGTCTATTTGACTAATAATTTCCAAATCATTGAACTCTTTCACCTGATATACTTCGTAATATACTCTTATATGTTTTCTTTAACATTTGATACAGTGTCAAGACTCAAGTAGATGTCGGCGCAAATCCTTCACCAAAAAATGACTCGGGAAACAAGACGTCAGGAAAAAGAGAAATGTTGGAGCCCCTGCATTTTCTATATTAATGAATATTATCATTTTCAAACAAAAAAAATACAGCTAGAATAGATAATAATGATTTTGAAGATGCGCTTTGTTACAATCACATTTTTTTTATAAAGGGTACAAAAAAAGATTTGAATATGTATATATAATTATACTCGTCTGAATGTCCATTATATCTTTTAATTCTTACCTTCCATTTCTTTTTTTTTATAGAAATATTTTTTTATGATGATGATTCGAATTGGAGTTGTGGTACGGGTTTTTTCAATTTTCACAGACAACTAGCAACAGCAAACTTAAACAAGAGGCCCATGGGCCACATCGTTCACCTGAGAAGCTTTGACCATTCTGTTCTTTACCAGATTTCCCCCTTAATACATAATGCATCCCCACCCTACCCTACTGATCATAATTTAGACATTTTGAAATCTACACTACCTCATGATCCTTCCATGTGCACATAAGTTTCAGCTTTTCTGGCCCAGTGGTTCTTGAGAAGAAGATTTTCAAAGATTTTTCCTATATATTTCTATGTAAAACTTTGATTCCCCATTGTGGCCCCGCCCTTCCCCTGGGGGGTCATGATTTAAACAATTTAGAATCTACACTACCCTAGGATGCTTCCACATAAGTTTCAGCTTTTCTGGCCCAGTGGTTCTTGAGAAGAAGATTTTCAAAGATTTTTCCTATATATTTCTATGTAAAACTTTGATTCCCCATTGTGGCCCCGCCCTTCCCCCGGGGGTCATGATTTGAACAATTTAGAATCTACACTATCCTAGGATGCTTCCACATAAGTTTCAGCTTTTCTGGCCCAGTGGTTCTTGAGGAGAAGATTTTCAAAGATTTTTCCTATATATTTCTATGTAAAACTTTAATTCCCCATTGTGGCCCCGCCCTTCCCCCGGGGGTCATGATTTGAACAATTTAGAATCTACACTACACTAGGATGCTTCCACATAAGTTTCAGCTTTTCTGGCCCAGTGGTTCTTGAGAAGAAGATTTTCAAAGTTTTTTCCTATATATTTCTATGTAAAACTTTGATTCCCCATTGTGGCCCCGCCCTTCCCCCGGGGGTCATGATTTGAACAATTTAGAATCTACACTACCCTAGGATGCTTCCACATAAGTTTCAGCTTTTCTGGCCCAGTGGTTCTTGAGAAGAAGATTTTCAAAGATTTTTCCTATATATTTCTATGTAAAACTTTGATTCCCCATTGTGGCCCCGCCCTTCCCCCGGGGGTCATGATTTGAACAAACTTGAATCTACACTACCTGAGGATGCTTCCATATAAATATGATCAATTCTGGCTTGGCAATTCTTGAAAAGAAGATTTTTAAAGAATTTTCCTATATATTTCTATGTAAAAATTTGGTCGGCCATTTTGGCCCCAACCTACCCCCGGGGGTCATGATTTGAACAAACTTGAATCTACACTACCTGAGGATGCTTCCATGTAAATATGATCAATCATGGATTGGCCCAGTGGTTCTTGAGAAGATTTTTTAATGACCCCACCCTATTTTTGTCTTTTCTTGATTATCTCCCCTTGTGAGGGGACTTGGCCCTTAATTTAAAAATTTAAATTCCCCTTCACCCAAGGATGCTTTGTACCAAGTTTGGTCAAAATTGGCGCAGTGGTTCTTGAGAAGAAGTCGAAAATGTGAAAAGTTTACAGACGGACAGACAGACGGACGGACGACGGACAAAATGTGATCAGAAAAGCTCACTTGAGCCTTCGGCTCAGGTGAGCTAAAAACACTAGAATTTTCGGGGGGGGGGGGGGATCTCGAATATTACATTAAAAAGTGTTCCTTGTATTGCATACAGAATACAATGCTTATTATATGAACTTCAACAACTAAATGAATTGTAGAATAATTACTGTAGTTAAACCATAAATTAAATTTGAATAAAATGATTTATTCAACCCGAAGCCATTATATTTGTTAAAGTTAAAATCTGCAATGTGGAATATTACTAGTCAAAGACCCTTTCAATTAATCTAAACATGTTCACTTTATGTTACAAAATAATTGATCTGTAAGCGATCACAATTGATTAAATCTGAGATATTGGGTAAATGTTTTCAGATTTCTGATTTTTTGTTTGTTTTTTTATTTGATTTGATTTTTTGTTTGTTATTTGTCTTCATTTATTTTATATACTGAAAAAAAAAACTCTATTGCTTCTAACGTAAAGAACATTTAATTTGATGTAAAAGGTATGTGTATTCTATATGAAAACCAGGTTTGTTTTAATTTTGAAGCAAATAAATGTTTTCAATTTTATATTGTAAAGAATTAAATCATATTTCATGAAATAATTTTCGAACTTTATGATTGTTGTTTCTGTTTTACATCATTGCTACGTACAGTAATTATCATCTGACATCACATCAAAACCATTTAAAATTAAATCATATTTCATTTTTCATAACAAATATTTCAGAAGTATTTCATGATTTTCTTATAGTTCTTAAGTACGAGAGGGATGTGATCAAATTAGCAGACAATTGTCCGTTTTAAGTGATTATCTGTTAATTATACTTATGTGCGGCCGCAGTTGCCGCGTGTTCGAAATTTAGGGTCACGTGATTTGTTGGTATAAATATAGTAGCTCGCAGAGTTGGGCGTTTATCTAAGCTCGCTCGGTTCTTGGGATATCAAGTTCGGTAGTAAGGTACATGTACTGTGTATAAGAACATTTGGTGTTAAAAATGGACGATGTCGATATACAAATGGAATCTACTGACTTGGGTCTGTCGAACGAAGAAGCTGTATCTTTGTTTAATTCCTCGTTAAACAAGGCTTTAGAGAAGCAGAATTCAGTAATTGTGAATTCTATTACAAAGCTCACTGAGAAATTGGCCAGTTCTGCGAAGAGCGCTTCGCACGTGTCCGACGCTCCGTTTGAATTCAAACACGAGGGGCATAAAATTCAGTTTGGATTTAATCAGGATAGACTTTCAAAGCTGACGGAATTAGAACAGTGTTTGCAAGAAGGTGAATTATCGAAAGCTCTCAAAATAGTGACAAAAGAAAAGTCAGCATTGCAGCACAGAAATAAGATTCTTAAGATCGCTGATCGGCATGGGTGGGACACGGTTCATGAATATCTGGATGACCCCCTGGCGGACAATACTGAGGACGCTGCTAAGTTGCGTTATGTTGTTGGCAGGGCTGCACGAAAGCGTTCTTACAGGTCAAGGCCATATGATAGACGAAGAGGCTCTTTCTCCGCCAATGACTTTTTTAGCTCACCTGAGCCGAAGGCTCAAGTGAGCTTTTCTGATCACATTTTGTCCGGCGTCCGTCTGTCCGTCTGTCTGTCTGTAAACTTTTCACATTTTCGACTTCTTCTCAAGAACCCCTAGGCCAATTTCAACCAAACTTGCCACAAAGCATCCTTGGGTGAAGGGAATTCAAGTTTGTTCAAATGAAGGGCCACGCCCTCATTCAAGGGGAGATAATTGGGAATTAATGAAAATTTGGTGGTATGCTTTAAAAATCTTCTTCTCAAGAACCACTGTGCCAGGAAAGATGAAACTTATAGGGAAACATCCTCAGGTTGTGTGGATTCAAGTTTGTTCAAATCATGACCCCCGGGAGTAGGGCGGGGCCAAAATGGCCGACCAAAGTTTTACATAGAAATATATAGGAAAATTCTTTAAAAATCTTCTTCTCAAGAATGACAAAGCCATAATTCATCATATTTATATGGAGGCATCCTCAGGTAGTGTAGATTCAAGTTTGTTCAAATCATGACCCCCGGGGGTAGGGCGGGGCCACAATGGCCGACCAAAGTGTTACATAGAAATATATAGGAAAATTCTTTAAAAATCTTCTTCTCATGAACAGCCAATCCATGATTGATCATATTTACATGGAAGCATCCTCAGGTAGTGTAGATTCAAGTTTGTTCAAATCATGACCCCCGGGGGTAGGTTGGGGCCAAAATGGCCGACCAAATTTTTACATAGAAATATATAGGAAAATTCTTTAAAAATCTTCTTTTCAAGAATTGCCAAGCCAGAATTGATCATATTTATATGGAAGCATCCTCAGGTAGTGTAGATTCAAGTTTGTTCAAATCATGACCCCCGGGGGGTAGGGCGTGGCCACAATGGCCGACCAAAGTGTTGCATAGAAATATATAGGAAAATTCTTTAAAAATCTTCTTCTCAAGAATGGCCAAGCCATAATTGATCATATTTATGTGGAAACATCCTCGGGTAGTGTAGATTCAAGTTTGTTAAAATCATGACCCCCGGGGGTAGGGCGGGGCCACAATGGCCAACCAAAGATGCTCAGGTGAGCGATGTGGCCCATGGGCCTCTTGTTCGTGGCTTTGGCCAATCGTTTTACACCTCAGGAGGAAACTTCCGGTTCAACAGGGGCGACAGTCAGAGCCTAGATTTGGTTCACAGAACTTCCAAACCCCACGAGATTTTGGACGATGCTTCTACTGTAAGCAGACAGGACATCTTGTCAGAGACTGCCCCTACATCAAAGGACAACCTATCCCCTCCTTATCCTCGCCAATCCCAAGTGCAGCAAGCAAGCAATGAAAGCAATGAAGTTGAGTATATGTTTGAAGAATTAAATTATCAGTATGAATATGATCAAAGTATCAAAATATCAAGAGTAAAATCAAAGTTAAAAGAAAATATTGCATTTTGGAAGTCAGAGTTGAACGCTAATAGTTTTGTTATGAATACTATCATGTATGGCTATGTTATACCTTTCATGCAATATCCGTCTAGCACATATATTAAAAACAAGAGATCGGCTGTAAATCATTCTGAATTTGTAGGTTTAGCAATTTTAGAACTTGTTTCTAATGGATGTGCCCGAGAGGTTCATGAGCCTTCTTATGTGGTTAATCCTCTCACTGTCTCAGTCAATGCGTCAGGTAAAAAAAAAACGCCTTGTGTTAGATTTAAGGCATGTAAATCAGTACATAGAAAAGCAAAAGGTTAAGTTTGAGGGTGTCAAAGAAGCGCTTTTGTATGCCAAA